TCCAGGGGGGAAAAGGATTGTTAGCAATGGAGTTTGACAGCCCCATTGCTAGCAATATACCTTATTAGGTCGACCTCCACGTGGTTTCCCCTAGAAACCATCGTGTACAATTTCTGTTGAATTCGTCACGATGGGCTAACTGACCTACTTCATTCTCACCTATCATTCTTCACTGATGCCCCGCCGGTGTATACCGATAGCGCGGGTGGGGTTACCATTCCATTATCATCCATTTAAAAAAAAAATCTCTCTCCACATCTTGCCACCAAAAAGGGAGATAAGCTCCAGATAAAAAAAAGTCTCGTGTAATTAATAATGATAAAATTTATTTATTCAAACAACATAAGGTCTATTTTGTTAATTATAATTTACTTAACCTATGTTAGAAAATGAGCAGTTATGACATTCTTACATTGATAACCTGTCCCATTCTATATTTAAAGATGGGTCAGTCCATTTTGCCAGCAATTGTCTCCAGGATACTGTTTGAGCTAACACGTACACTAGCTAATAGCGAAACAATTCGTTTACGCCGTATTGCGTAAAAATCATCAGTAGGCTCTAGTGCAAACATGTGTGACGCACTACAGCGACGGTGTAGCCCCAACAGAATTAATATAATATTTTATTTTTAAAACAGAGGGGGGCTTTGTACAAAACTCGTTTGATTGGGTACCTCTGTTCTATTCGTGTTTCGTGTCAAACAGTTGTGTTTGCATGGCTGTTACGGTTTGAAGAGTGGGATATGGCAGTGAATTTACAAGGTACAGGTGGATAACACCTTAGTCCTCAGGAATGGCAACGCATTGGGGATATCATGGGCGAAACAGTATACTCTGTTATGTCTATGATACTGTTCATGTCTATAGGCGACGGTTACCACTTTTTATCAGGTGGGCCGTCAGCTTGTTTGCCATTCTAAGTTGCATAAAATAAATAAATAATATTTCACTTCATAGGATATCTTACCGGTAGTAATAATAGTGATTACCAAATATTTTTAGAGCTCGCAAAAAAGAAAGTACCTTCATATCTAAGTACTTACAGAAAGCAAAGTTTAATCGAAGATATAGATAGCCCACCTCGCCACATAATAGCGAAGCGATATTGCAAGTCACCCTCTTCAGTCTAGACTTTATAACTAGACATTATCTATGTAGTGACTATAATATAACACAAACATAATTTTGTTTTTAGAAACACTTTTTAGGGTTCCCTAAAAAGTGTTGTGGAATTAAATTTCGAATCTATCTTTTTTTTTATACAACTTAGAATGGCAAACAAGCTGACGGCCCACCTGATGGAAAGTGGTAACCGTCGCCTGTAGACATGAGCAATACCATGGATATAACAGAGTATACTGTTTCGCCCATGATACCCCCCATGCGTTGCCATTCCTGAGGACTCAGGTATTATTCCTCTGTGCCCAGTAAATTCACGCCATATCCCACCCTTCAAACCGAAACACAGCCTTGCAAATACAACTGCTTTACGGTTAAAACACGAATGGGACAAAGGTACCCAAGCAATCGACTTTTGTACAAAGTCTCCCTCTGGTATTCAAATAGACTTGTTTACAAACACTTTTAAATCGTATTTCTTTTAATCTACTGCTGAGTTCGGAAAGTTGTTATCTGTTGAGAAGAGCCCCAAGAAACTCAACAGTTACTCTTTTAAATCTCTGTAGACATTATGTGTATTTATTTAAATGTACTATGTCTAAAATTACATAACCATTTAAAAGCCGGTACATGATCGACTAATTCGAAAACTACTCAACTGATTCAAAATTCAAAATTCTTTAACCTATAAAAAGCTACATTATCAGTAAGTTAACAAAGACTATACATTCGGTATTTTCGAAAATTTAATCTACTCTGTTGAAACCAGACCGAATCATTACAAATATTATAAATGCTAAAGCACATTTGTATGTTGTTCTTGACGTTAATTTGGCATATAAACACTATATGGAATGGAGTAGGACATAAGCTACTATTTATTTTGGTCAGTAAACATATCCCGAGCACGTGGATGCAGACAAGGGTAAAAGTTAGTTTCAAATAAAATATTTTATTTTATTGTATTTTATTTCATTTGTTTTATTCAATTTTATTTAATTTTATATAATCTTATTTTATTTATTTATTTGCCAGAAACATTATAGATGTTACATTTGTCAAATTTATAAGAAGTCCATTATGTTTCGGCACATCAAACAATATGCGAATATTAATCAGTGAAATAAATAAATAAATAGATAGAGGACTGACTAGTGCTAAGTTACTACTGCTTCTGTAGTGTTATATTATCTGTGGTACTATTTATGATGTAACTGCCACGAGCCACATAAAAATGATACCAATCTCGAGACCCTACAATTAATTATCTTTAAAACTTTCGCGTTGCATGATTCATGTTTTTTAAAAGACAGAAATTAACACTGTCTTTTTTTAATGCGTGAATATGAAATAGTGACTCCGCCCGCGCTACCGGTATACATTGGTGCCCCACCAGTGAGTGATAATAGGCGAGAATGGGGGGAAAGGGATTGTTAGTAATGGGGTCTAACTGATCCATTACTAGCAATACATCCTATCAGGTCGACCTCCTCGCGGTTTTCTCTGGAAACCATCGTGATTAATTCTAGTAGAATTCATCACGATAGGCTAACTGAACTGCTTTCATCGTCACCTATCATCCCTCACTGGTGCCCCGCCAGCGAATACCGATAGCGCAGGCGGAGTTACCATTACATTATTATCCATTAAAAAAAATAAAGAATACATATTATTTTTATACTTTTACATAAGATATAACCGATGCATCAAATTACAACACATTTTACGGTTGTATTTAGAATGTGGTTATGTTATATGCCTGAGAAGAATCCAAAGTTATTATGTTACTTATCAACCTGTACCTGTCAACCTCCCATCATTTAATATGAACTACACAATAAATATACATATAAACAAAAAACAAGTTCTATAGAAATGTCAACATACGCCCATGGATAAACATTAACCAAGCTAGATACGAAGTGAAAGAATAAAAGAAAAAATGGAAAAGTGTGAGTCGAATATTTTAGATGAGAGGACTCTGACAGTTTTCAATACATAAAAGTATGTAGATCCTTTTTTTTTTTAACAATACTACCTACTAATTCACTTAAGCACAAAGCAATTTTGGTAGTAGGAGCATACATTATGCTCTGAACAATCCCCACATCAAATTTATTAATATTAAATGTTTTTAAAAATGTTTCGCTTTCCCTTTAGTTCCTATCACATTCCATCAATAGGTGCTGTACATCTTCAACTTTTCCACAGACAATGCAATTTGGTGAAATGTCTTTTTTTATTTATTTTAAATATGTAAACTTTCTTGATGGATAGTGACCAGATCTGATTCTTAAAATTAACTTAAGCATGTAGATCCAACTTTTAGAAATTTTAATTTAATAGTAAATTATAATTAAACAGTTAAATTGTTATCTTTTCATTATCTGTATTTGAACTAAATGACAGTTAAAAAAAATAAAACAAAAAGTATAAACAAAAAAAAGGATAAAGGATTATAAGGTCATCGTAACGAATGCAACAAGTATTAATCTTGATAGTTTCCAGGAGGAACCGCGTGGAGGTCGACCTGATAGGGTATATTGCTAGCAATGAAGCTGTTAGACCCCATTACTAACAATCCCTTTCCCCCTAATCTACTGAGTCGATGGTGCCTGCGATATTACTTTGGGCAAAGTTCGGCAAATCGTAGCAATCCATTTATTGACACAAAATGACGGAATTGCTTTATCTTTGAATCTATAGTTTTGCATAATTGATAAAACAAAATACGAGATAGTTTTGTTATTTATTAAAATCTAGTTAAATATATACCGTGATTTCGTCCGGTGAATCAATGTAATACATTAATTGCTAAGCTAAAATGTGGTAAGGTAAAATTTAATCCACCCATGTACCAAATTTTATTCAAATCCTTTGGGTAGTTTTTGCGTAAGTAACATTCATTCATCAATCTCTCCATTGTAATTTTTGTTTTTGTAATTGTTACTTCTCTGTTTCATATTGTTTAACTTAAAATGTAAAACAACAACATATGGAAGAGGGCACTATTTCCTGAAACAGGTTTTTTCATACCTAACTCGGGAGTTAGGGACTTCAAACTATATTAAAACAAAGAGTGAAATAAAGAAGAGTGAAATAAAGATTTATTATTATTATTATTAAATCCCTGCGAACTTAAGCATTTATAATATTAATAGGAGCAGAGATATGTAAATGGAGAACACTCTTTTCTAAACTTTGACAGAAAAATACAAAAAAAAATCAAACAGCGCCAGTCATGATGGAACCTATAAAAATTATGATATTTTTGACCGTTTCAAATGTTCAATAAACAGTAACCAAGACAAGAAATCAAATCATTATCCTAACAGCCGTTAACAGTTCACCGCTGAACATAGGCCTCCCCCTACTGATAGGTTTTATCAGTAGTCATCGTGTTTGGCTGGTTTGGCAACCTCAGTTAAGCTTTAGTGGAGCGCTTAAGAGGAGCGCTTCAGTCCATCCCTCACCATTATGTTCCATTAGTCGACACCAACGCGAAAAGAAGGGATAGCTGATTCTATGTTACCAGAGGGAGACTTTGTACAAAAGTCGATTGCTTAGGTACCTCTGTCCTATTCGTGTTTTTACCATGAAGCAGTTGTATTTGCATGACTGTGTTTCGGTATGAAGGGTGGGATATGGCGTGAATTTACAGGGTACAGAGGAATAATACCCGAGTCCTCAGGAATGGCAATACATGGGGGGTATCATGGGCAAGATAGTATACTCTGTTATGTCCATGGTACTGCTCATGTCTATAGGCGACGGTTACCACTTTCCATCAGGTGGGCCGTCAGCTTGTTGGCCATTCTAAGTTGTATAAAAAAAAATGTTGAAAACATACGACAAAAAAAAACAAAAATTTTTGGTTAGACATTTATTATAACAACAACATTATTTCTAACACAATCTTATTAAAACATACTTTGGCAAGTGATTGGCTGTAACGTCAATATGTATATTTATCTAAATCAATTTAAAACTAAGATCGACGTTTAGACATCTATAATAAATACCTTATTTGTTTATTACTAATTTTGTAACAAATATTTCATTTAATTATAACTAGCATTTCCTGCGACTTTGCTCTCGTAAATTAACATATAAGTATCCCATTTGCTAAGTTAGGACATAACCACCAGAGGGAGACTTTGTACAAAAGTCGATTGCTTGGGTACCTCTGTCCCATTCGTGTTTCAACCGTGAAGCAGTTGTGTTTGCATGACTGTGTTTCGGTTTGAAGGGTGGGATATGGCGTGAATTTACAGGGTACAGAGGAATAACACCTGAGTCCTCAGGAATGGCAACGCATGGGGGGTATCATGGGTGAAACAGTATACTCTGCTACGTCCATGGTACTGCTCATGTCTATAGGCGACGGTTACCACTTTCCATCAGGTGGGCCGTCAGCTTGTTTGTCATTCTAAGTTGCATAAAAAAAAAAAAAAAAAAAAAAACCTATCCGTGGACCAAATTTTATTCTATTCCGTTCAGTAGTTTTTACGTGAACGAGTAACAAACAATCATCTATCCATTGTTGCTTACAAACTTTTGCCTTTGTAATATTAATAGAATTATGAACCTAATTATCCGTAACAATCATGTGTTTTGTATAAACATTTTAATGTACATATAAAATAATATATTTACGTATGTATTAGTAACTTAAAATTTGCATTTCTATATTCACATTATTGTACGTATGCATATTACATGTATTTAAGAAATGAAAAAAGTTTCGTGCCTCCAATCAAACTGTTTATACGAACAATGAGTTATTGTGAATAAATTAAACTGTGCATACTTGTTGCTAAATAATGTAACTACAAAATGAGGGTAGTTATAAAAAAACCAATGACTTTAACCATGTTAGGCTAAGAACTTTTTAAATGACCCTCGTAGTTACGCCTCTCCATCCAAAGGTTGCCTGGAAGAGATCGCTCTTAGCGATAAGGCCACCCATTGTTTTCTTAGTGTAATATTTTCTTGTAATTATTTTTAATTATAATAAGTTTACTATTGTAATCTTATGGAGGAAACAATAAAGAGTATCTATCTATCTATATTGCATTATCTCAAATATATTTTGGTGATTTAACTGTATTATGATTATATTAGTCAAACCAAATATAATTTTAGGCCAAATCTACAAAAATAATTAGAAGTTTAGGCCGGATATTACCGGTCTCGGTTTACTCTCGATATGGTCAAATAGAAACAGTTTAAAATTAACCGAAACGAAACTGGATTTTAGTGTGAATGCACACATTTTTTCCAATATAATATTTTTTTACTACACTGATATCGGACCGAGACCGCCACTATAGTGGATCGAGCCTTATTCTAAGTGAGAATAAAAATTGTATTTCTTGTTGCTCAGATTTTCGGAATAATATTAAAATAAAGTTAGAATTTAGAGGCCTCTAATCTTTTATGCATCTCATGCTTAATTCTCCGACTGCAGAGATTTGATTCCTTGTTCATAATGACGTGCTATATTTGAACATAGTAGTAAATATATGGCAATATCCAATATTATAGTTACAATATCTATATATTGGCTTAATAAAAAACGTTAAATATCGGTTGTCCAATATATAATATTGAAATAAAGCACCCGATTTAAACAAATGGAGATAACTGACTGGTGTGATGACCTTTTTCCGCCATAAATGACCAGAAGAATCCAATATATAGATAGATATCGGAGTGATACTGATATTATCTATGTCTACATAGTAGATTTTCACGTTGTATAATATTAACTAAATATGGAGTTATCTACTTAATAAATGAGAACTTTGTATGACCTATTTAAAGCAAATAGATTATAGTATTCTATTCTAGAATACAATAGTATTCTATATATTTTTCGTTAACCTTTCACCTAAATAACATTTTCCACATCGACACCATAGACAAATTAATGTAGTTAAATAAAACTTATAATGAAAGTCTCTTGCTACAATTATATAAAGTAGAAACTGTGAGGTTGCAACTCGAGCTGCGCCATCTTGGCCAGCAGCCGGTGCAGCCGGCGCTGGGCCGCGTGCGTGTGGTGGTCGGCGTGGGTGGCGTGCGCGTGGGCGTGGGCGGCGTGCACGGCGGGCGGCCGAACGGCGCGGCACATCTCCAGACGTTGCTCCACGTGACGCGGCATCTGTACGGTTCAATAGTCATTCTAAGCATTCGTTTCGAATCTTACTAAAGTACCACAACGTTACAGTTAACTGTCAATTTATCAAAAGCAATTAAAAATTCCTAAATATTTCTGATAAACATTTGATATAGCAAACTAAAATGTTACTTAGGGCATTATTTATTGAAAGAATGATATTTCTAAAAATGATAGAATAATCCTTACGTTGAATAACGGAGAGTGCAGTATAGGTATCCACAAGGGCAGCAGTTTGTTGAGTACCGTCGAGTTACATTCCAATAGTGACTCGAGCAGACTCAAGAAGTGCAAGTTTACGGTCTCCGCCAACTGTGTACAAATAACAGTAATGCTACATACATTTTACATGATTATATTTTTTACCATGATTATTACTATCTTACGAAGACGTAATTATAGAATCACATAAAAACAATATGGCGGCTTTAAAAAGGAAACAGCAACACGGCAATATGTATGCAATATACCTTATTAATCTAGTCTAATACGTGTTGGTCCTTTGAGCCGGATGATATTGAATGTAGTCTTTTAATTGTAAAAAAAATGTCAAAATCATTTTATTAATTATTTATTATTAGTAACATACATAAATGAAAATAAATACATACAGTAAATTCTAATCTCTTTTGTCGAATATTAGCTGTAATAAGAAATCTTATCTACAGGTCACGAAGTAGTTGACTCACCACTTTGGACTGCACGGTGACCTGCAAAATGCTGGGTACCAGTTTGCACCAGAAATCCAGGAGTATGCAGACAGTGGTGTTGTGCGGCTCACTGCTGGGCGTGCTCGCGGACGCCAGTTCTTCTAAATACAGCGTCCATAGTTGGCAGAGGATGAACGCGTGGAACAGAGCGTTCATGCGTTGTGGTGCCGGTTTAGTTTGCTCCACATACGATGACATTATCGTCTAGAATAAAATAAAGAAATTGAATGTTGATATTATCGTATTTGTTAATCGAAACACGTTATTCGTGTGTTGTACAGTGTACAGTATAAGTTACTGCAACAGGCGTCAAGTACATGTGTTGCACAGTGTGCAGACATAAAAATAACTAGATTGGTTAAAAGTGGTTCTATCTATATAGATAAGCATATACAATCTTTGTGAAAGCGGCAATGCCGTAAAAATTACTCTTTTCCCCTTAAGACTCTTCATAGATTGATATAATAGGGTTGCCACACATTCATATTTAATAATTTTAAGATAACATTCACGCAACGCATTTGTGAGGGGAAAAAGAATTGTTAATAATGAGACTAGAGGTCCCATTGCTAACAATATACCTTATCAGGTCGACCTCCACGCGGTTCCCCCTGGAAACCATCTTATTTGGTTTTTTATGAATTCATCATTATGGGCCAACTGACCTGCTTTCATCATCACACTATCACCTCTCACTGGAACCCTACCAATGTATAGAGATAGCGAAGGCGGGGTACCATGCCATTTTCACTCTTCATTTTTACTCACACATTTGTGAATAAACTACACACTCACACTGCGACGTCTATTTTTGCTAGCCCTGACTTAAGCGGACACGAGTTTAATGCGAATTGGATGTAAGCTGGTATAATATTGTACGGGTGCTGCAGCGGCTGCCGGCCGCGGACGTTGCATAGTGTGCAGCGTATAGCGCACAGAGTAGCATGCAGTGTACCTGTATGTGGTCGGTGATGTGGCAGGTGGCGTCCTGCGGCACGGGCTGCTGCAGCGGCTGTCGGCCGCGGGCGTTGCACAGTGCGCCCATCACTAGCCACGACACGAGCCGAACACGGCCCACGCACTCGCTTACTTCGCGCGACCTGCATAGTAACAAGCGGCGGTTAGAGATGACACTTATGCTATTCTTTTTCACAAACAATAAAATAGAATATTTAGATTAAACAATTATCATTTATATATATATTCATTTATATATTGCCGTTCTGGTTCGTATCTGGCTCAAAGGATATCTCTGGCAATCCAAAGCGGAAATGCCGCAAGTGTCATGGGGACCTTTGGGTCGGGTACGGATCGTGAATACGACTGATCATTAAATTTCATTTTTTTTTTGTGATACTGTGAAATGTATTAGTTTTATTAAACATGTAAAATAAATAATTGCCATTAAAATATATATGTATACATAATATATATATATATATATATATATATATATATATATATATATGTATATATATATATATATTAATAAAATAAAATTATTTTTTTATTTATGTAATATATACCATCATAAATACTTGATGTATGTGAGATATGCATACGATTATGTGCATATGTTTTATTAACAAGAACACATTTTTTATCACGCAAAAAAGCAAAATAATTAAAAAGTTGAACAGAGAAAAGCTTTTATGTAACAGTAATTATGGCCAAACTATACAATGGAGCAATGATCACAAATGTATCATAAATAGTTAACGCATGCAGGTGGCTCATGTGAATCTTCAGGGAGATCACTGTTTAGCATTGAATAACTCAAAATTACCTTAGGCAAATGATACAAGTACATCGTGCAATACAGACCCGGGTATGGAGGAGGTGAGCCAGGGCATGTGCCGGGCCGCCTGGCCGCGGTCCTGCTTGCCGCGTGAATGCTCTAGAGCCAGCTCCATGGCCACGTACTGTGCAATGCCGCCCTTCACAATTGCCCCCAGCGTGTCCTCGTTCAGACAGATGAGGTTACGATTCACTATCGACTTCGACACGGATCCCTGATTGAAGAAGTCGTGACAAAATTATCCTATATTAAATTTAGTTACTAATTAAAAAAAAAAGTAAATTGTCAACTAAATAAAGATCATGGTTTAGATATATAAAGACTAGATTTTTTTTATACAACTTAGAATGGCAAACAAGCTGACGGCCCACCTGATGGAAAGTGGTAACCGTCGCCTATAGACATGAGCAGTACCATGGACAAAACAGAGTATACTATTTCGCCCATGACACCCCCATTGGTTCCCATTCCTGAGGACTCAGGTGTTATTCCTTTGTACCATGTAAATTTACGCCATATCCCACCCTTCAAACCGAAACATAGCTATGCGAACACAACTGCTTCACGGTTGAAACACGAATGGGACAGAGGTATTCAAGCAATCGACTTTTGTACAAAGTTTCCTTCTGGTAATTAGTTGGTGTAGAGATCATATTCGTTGCCAGTCAACATCATATCCGCCATGAACTGTTCACTGCAGAAAATAGGTCTCCCCTATAAGGAGGATATTGCCAGTAATTGCCACGCTTGGCAGGCGAATTAGCAACCGCAGTTAGGTTTCGATGATGTTTTAGGAGAGACACTGCTGCCATCCCTTGACCATTTAATTCTCTTAGTCGTCTTTACGACAACGACAGGAAAGAAAGGGATGGCCTACTCCATGCCGGGATCACATGGCAATTCGTTGACAGCATATTGGGCAAATTAAATACTTGAAGGAGCCAATCAAGAATTTTCGGAATATTTATTTATTTATTCATTAGTACAAATATGGTATGTGTACATGGCGGACTTAATGCTAAAAGCATTCTCTCCCAGTCAACCATAGGGAAGTGTCAGAATACTCGAATGCGGTACTAGTAATTATTGATATACATACATACTAAAATTACATATATAAAGGAATAAATATATATGAATAACAAATATAAGTAGAGAAAAAGAATGTAAAGGAAAGCAAAGGAAGTAGATAGGAAAGGAAGCAGCAGGTGTTGTTGTGTAGTGTGTAGTGTGTAAGGTGTAAGGTGTAAGGTGTAAGGTGCGGCGGGCGTGCCTTGATCTTGTTGAGCAGATGCGGGTCGAGCAGCAGGTCGAGCATGTCGGGCAGGTGCGGCCGCATGCAGTCCACCGCGCCGCTGCCCAGCTCGCGCGCGTCGCCGCCCGCCGCCAGCAGCCCGCCGCCGCCGCCGCCGCCGCCCGCGCCCAGCGCCCCGGGCAGCGCCAGGCGGCAGCCGTGACCTACGCAACATGATAGCCGAGACTTAATGCAAGTCAGTTGGCCACCATGGTGAATTCGACAAGAATTGTTTGTTTGTTTTCAAAAGTTCTTTATTTATCATAAGTGATTACAAATATAATAAATTCCAGTGTACGTAAGCCTAGAGTTTACAATCGGCCATAACTCTCGTACAATACATTTCAGTAATTTGTGATGGACCAAATAAATCCAGAATACACTTTTTTTATATTAATAACTAAAGAATAAGAAAATGACAACTTTGTTATTACATAGACAGTATTTTTTTTAGTGGATGAAAATGGAATGGTAACCCCGCCTGCGCTAACAGCATACGCCCATCATAATGAATTCAACAGGAATTAACTATGATAGTTTCCAGGGGGAACCACGAGGAGGTTGACCTGGCTGGGTATATTGCTAGCAATGGAATTTTTAGTCTCCATTACTAACAATCCCTTTCCCCCCCACATAGACAGTATTAGGGCAATACAACGACCAGTTCCACTTGTCCACTACCAACGTTTCCCCACTGGGGGGTAAGTGTGGGATTTTATTCCTCCTATCTCCACCTGGTAGAAATGAACCCTACTGAGTGCTGTTTGTTTCCAAGTACACTCGTGTACATAATACCTTGCAGCACGAACTGTATGAGCACGAAGAGGTTATCATCGGGCACGGTGGTCTTGGTGCGCAGCGCCTGCACCAGCTCATAGACTAGCACGCGGCACACCAGCAGGCGGTCGCGGTCGCGGCTGAACACCCGCACGCACGCCATGCTCAGCTCCGAGATCACTGACAACCGGATCACAAAGTTCTGGATGGCGTAGCTCACGATCTTCGAGATTGGCTCCAGTATGCTCTGTCAAACCGTTGTAGACACATCATTTTATGTCGCGGTTCCATCGAGATATTGATAGAGCTGCTTATTATACAGCTCGTATTCTACAATTTCTATATGCTTAATGAATGAATGACTGAAAACTCTTTATTTTTCTCATCAAAGAATGATACAGATTTAAAGATTAACAATACGTACACAACTAAAATGAGTACTTAATTACATAAAAGCAAGATAAAGAGACAACATGGGGCGGCCTTATCGCCAAATAGCGATCCCTACCAGGCAACCTAAAGATAGAGAGGAATAATTTAAAAAAATTGTGATTGGTTAAGGCGTAATAGAAAAATAATAAGACTAAAAAAGGGCTATGCAGTCAGATAAATATCAAATAAATGCAAATAAATAATACGTACATACAAATATACGTATAAAAACTTATATAAAAATAAATATACTAATATATATTAGGAGTACCTAATATATCAATAATCAATAATACATAAAATCATCCCCGTCGTTACTACGATTTTCTTAAATAGTATTTTTTTATTTGCAACTTAAGATTGGACCGGTGGTGTAGCGAGTAGGGGCTGTAGAGGTGTAGGAGGCCGACCTTGTGCTGCGCGGCGCCGGGCACGCGCAGCGCGGCGGCGGCGAGGCGCAGCAGCGGCAGCGCGTCGTCGAGCTGCGCCAGCTGCAGCGCCGTGCCGCGCAGCAGCGCCTCCAGCTGCTGCAGCAGCGCCGCGCACGCGCCGCCCGGGCCCAGCGCCTCGGGCGCCAGGCACTCCAGGTACATCGCGATGTTGCCCGCCACTACTGTTATTTGCTGCACAACGCCCCCGCCCCCCATTACTGTTTAGTAACTACGTACGGATGGGTGTACTTCAAGGGTCAATTTTTGAGCCATTCCTATTTTCAGTTTATAATAATGATCTCGCATTTGTCATGCGGGATAGATGTGAAATAGTATTGTTGGCAGATGAAACTTCTTTAATTTTGAATATTGACAGATTGAGCAAAAAAAAAACAGACGTAAATAATACTTTAAGACGTAGTCTCTTGTATTGATTAATACCTAATAATCTAATAAATAAAAAAACAAAATGCATAAATTCTTCTCTTTCTAAAAATCACGATTCCAATTCTACTGTAAAATTAAATAATACACATTTTGATTTTATAGATTCTGCTGTCTTTCTTAGAATCACTCTTAATAATAAAAGTCAATGGGGTCCTCAGATTTAAAACTTTGCAATTAAATTTTGCAGGGTATGCTGTATACCAAATTAAACAATACACTAATATTGAGACTGTTAGACTAGTTTATTTTAATTATTTTCATAATATGCTGTCCTATGACACGAGCTGGATCAAGAATTCACTACTGTAAAGTGGGTTCTTCTCTCGACAGAAAAGGCTAATATCGCGTGACCAACTCAAGTTACGGGTAAAATACACGTCGTCTATAAACGCCCTAATTTAAGACATTACACCGAGTACTCACATCAATTGGTAATGTTTTCTTGGAGTTAAGATGTTCGATGACCAACTGTAGCGGACCGCACGGGTACAGTTCGTTGAAATCCACGAAAGCTTGGGCGATACTCTTGAAGAACATTAGCCGTTGCTTTTCTGTTAAAATATTATAATAATATTAAACTGTTTTTACACTGACCATTATATCATCATATCAGACTTCAATTGTCCATTGCTGAACGCAGGGGGAGGTTTACCCCCCTTGAGGGTATTACCAGTAGTCGCTACACTTGGCAAGCGGATTGGCAACCGCAGTTACGCTTTAGAGATGTTTTAAGAAGGACGCTGCTGCCCATCCCTAGCCCTCCCTTAGTCGGCTCTTACGACGAAAGGAAGAGACGACCTATTCTATACTTTGTGCCACACACAAAAGTTACACTGATGTAGAAATATATATCTGCACTGTATATAAAACTTCAGAGTATTTTTATTTGATAGTCATTCAAATTTTTTTGCTAGCTAATGATTAAATGTACTTTCTAAGCCCATATGATAGTAAATAGTCACTGTTGCCTAAAGACATGAACAGTCCATTTATTTTACGAAATACACCCTTAAACCTATGATATGAGGAATGACAGCGCATGGGGAATGCGCTGTCATTCCTCATAACCACGGTGGTAAGCTCTCCTACCTCGTAATTTCACTGACCATATCCCATCCTTCTTTATTTTTTTTATTTAATTTCACATATATTAAAATGAAGATTCTGAATAGTATTCAAAACAAATACGTGGCATACCAGGCGTCCTCTGCAGGAAGATCTGCAGGAAGACGTTGTTGGGCGCGAGCTGGTGCAGCACGCAGCGCAGGAATTGATGTGCCACGAAGACCGCGCTGCCAGGCAGCCGCGTGTTCGTGTCCACCTGCCACGAGTACTGCCCCAGCTGCACCACCCTGCAATGTCCTCACTTTAGTCACTTACAATGGCAAACTAGTTGATGGCCCAGCATCATCGGAAGTGGTAAGCATCGCTTGTAAGAGGTTAGGAATTTGGACTCGCGATCTCATAGCTAGAAATACAGTCTGTCGGTCAGGACGGCCCTACGCAAACTATCATGATTTCGTCACGATAGGCCAATTGAGCTGACTCCATGGATATGAATCTGATAGGTTCATGGATTTAATTTTTTTTTTATACTACGAAGGTGGCAAACAAACATATAGTCTTATCGTAAACTGTTACTATAGCCTATGGACGCCTGCAACGCCAGGGGCGTCACGTGCGTGTTTCGGACCCTGAAGAAACCTTAATACAGGGTCTATTAAGGTTTCTTCAGGTCTTGAACAACTCTATACTGAGTTTCTAGAGAAACCTTGACAAGGACCTAATTCTGAGCCTAAACGTTCGCGAGAGAGTTCCTTTGATAGGTAGATTGCCTACCATTACCTTCGCTATCACCTCAATAATTTAAACCAAGTGGGGTTGCCATCATTCTGTTGTCCATTAAAATATTGTCACCTTCAGACTAAACTACACTATTTACATAAAAAATATATTGTGAAACTTACACTATTTCTCATACCTATGTTGCTATTCCTGAAGACTAAAGTTACATTTGTGTGGTAATACAGTATAAAGAAATACCACGTTAATGGAGTGAACCTCATATAATACAAGTAATATTATTAGATATTCAGCAATATTATAATCACGTATGTTACCGAATATACCAGTATCAGCATGCTCAAGTTCCTAGACGCCAATGCAAACCTTAGTGTACTTGGTACCCTGAGCAAAGTTTTCGATGGTCAGCAAAGGTGCCGAATTTATTTATTTATTTATTCATAGGAAAACCGTAGCCCTGGTTTTACTACTAGAGCAAAAAGATACAGTTTAGGATCACAAAATAAGCCACTAATAGGTTTTCACAAATAGCAACAATATAGATACAATGCGCTGTACACAAAGAAACAAAAATAAAAGTTAACAAAAAAAATAAGAACAAACAAGAGGAACGAAAATAAAAAAAAATTATGAATAAAATACAAAGTAAAAATTAATTGCAAGTATTTGATTAAAATATGGCCTTCTTGTCCATACAATAGTTATTCAAACTGACTATGGAATAAAAAATTGCCTACTCAGCAATGAGCAGATAGCGCTATCAGTAATCTTATCCATCTCCATTTGGTCGTCTCTAGTTTCTTGTGGCCTTAAGTCCTGCTGTTCAGTTAAAAATATCGTATCGTATCAGCCGTTAATTATTTACTGCTAAAGAAACTCCTCCATAAGAAAAGGTTTTGCCAGTAATTGCCACGCATGGCAGGCAGGATGGCAACTGCAGTTAGCCTTTAGTGATGTTTTAAGGAAGGACACTGCTGCCTATCCCTCGATCATTAGACTCCCTTAGTCACCTCTTATGATACCCACGGGAAACATTCTATGCCGGGACTACACGGCGAGTCAATTAAAAGTACCACCGTAGAATTTGAGATGCATGACTCTTAGTAGCTCTTACACCCCTTCGCTAAAGCCAATTTTACTAATGTACTAGCTGTACGGAATAATATACGCTGACTTTTTTTACAACACAGGGGGCAAACGAGCATGCGGCTCACTTGATGGTAAGTGACTACCGCCGTCCATGATCACCCACAACACTAACGGAATTACAGGTGTGCTGCCGGCCTTTTAAAAAGAAATATGGTCTTTCCTTGAAGGTTATGATGTCGTATCGGATGTGTGTGTACATATTTGTATGAGGTACCTGCTGACGTTGTGCAGCAGGGCGGGCAGCATGGAGGCGGCGGCGGCGGGCTCGCGGTGCACGAACGTGGCCAGCACGATCACGCACAGCCCCAGCTCCTCGTCGCTGTACTGCTCCACCGCCGTGCCGCACTCACCGCCTACCAATACACACACCTCCACTCATCATCACCAGAAACGCGAGTGACGGTTACATGGAACTCACTCATATCTTTTTTTTTTTTTTATTGTTTCATTTGCTCATCTAATACAGTTAATTGTTTGTTATTGTTATATTTATTTATTAAATATATTATATGTATGTTTATATTAGTCTCAGTGTATGTATTACTTTACCAGAGGAAGATTTTGTACAAATGTCGATTGCTTGGGTTCCTCTGTCCCATTCGTGTTTCAACCGTAAGGCAGTTGTGTTTACATAGCTGTGTTTCGGTTTGAAGGGTGGGATATGGCGTGAATTTAATGGGTAGGGAGGAATAACACCTGAGTCCTCAGGAATGGCAACGCATGGGGGGTATCATGGACGAAACAGTATACTCTGTTATGTCCATGGTATTGCTCATGTCTACAGGCGACGGTTACCACTTTCCATCAGGTGGGCCGTCAGCTTGTTTGCTATTCTAAGTTGTATAAAAATAAAAACTTTTAATATTTCCTCAATTTAATAATGCACCGTCTACTTATTTCTCGGTTTGCCCAATGGTTGACTGGTAGAACACTATTCGGTGTTAAGATCGTCAAACGTACATAGTTTCACTGTGCATTAAAGTTTAAATAAATAAAAATTAACATGTACATTCTAATTTTAATATTACTTTTTGTATCAACAATCTTTGTGCGATTAAGTTCCGGTTTGATAAATCATAAAATGTATTATGACTCATTAAATACATGTAATAATACGTTAATATATCGTTATGTATACTGATGTGGCGACTCACATCGGTAGCAAAGTGTAGTGTCGGGACGCGGCGGAGCGGACGCGTGCGCTGCGTGTGCGGCGCGTCGACCCCCACGACTTTCTGCTTCCCACCATCCACCAGTGGACCACGCGCTCTCTGCAAAAAAAAATCATATTAAATGTTATTAATAAGAAATAATTAACCAATTAAATAAAATCTCAAATTACTAGTTTTAAAGTTTAGGGCTCAAGAATAATTAATAAAATTAATTTTATTAATAGAATTAATTTATATTTAAGTAAACTTAATTATAAATATTTTTAACTGTAATTTAGTATAACTTTACCACTCAATTCGAAATGCAATTTCAGCTAAGAATAAAGGGAAAGAACTTCGATTTTTATTTTTTTAAACAAAAGTAGATTTTTACAAATTACAATTATACATTTATTATACATGAATAGAGACTACCAAATTGTATAAGAAAACAATTATACTGTACTCCCACACATTTGAGTTATAAGTTAAATCACGGACTTTATTTTTCATGAATTCAATCATGTTAGTTTAAGAGAATGAGAATCACTCCGCCCGCCATCTTAGCGAACAGCGTAGCAATGGGTTAGTAAGAGCTGGCAACGGCCGGCCGTACTTATATAAATATAGCGACCCGCCCCAACTCCGCACGGGTACAATACTGATACTAAATAGCTACCACCCCAACTACTATGCCCCTGCATTTTAAATCTGTAATATCTTCGAAAATATTAATTTAAATTACACGCTGTAAAGGGCCATATGGATCTATATTAAATACATAACGTATTTAAGGTACTTAATTGGATGAGGATTAATGCTGTATTGCTTAAAATAGCTTCATAAGTAAGTCACTATTAATCGTAAAAAGGACCAAAAATGGTTATTGTGGGTTATCTATAAGAGATAGGCATATACCACCGCAGACTTTTTCGTGGGCCTTCTTAAGGTATATAATACTGTAGTACATTATTTTGATCTATCTCGTAGGGTTCAGTCAGCGTTTGCAATGTAAGCGCAGAAAATTGTGTTTATTTACGACATCACATTAGTAACCTCTGAAATTATCAGTGTTTCTCTACTATATTATGCATGTATTAAACATATAAACCTTTCTCTTGAATCACTCTATCTATTATAAAAAAAACGCATCAAAATCAGTCGCGTGGTTTTAAAGATGTAAGCATACATAGGGACAGACAGACGGGAAGCGTCTTTGTTTTATATTATGTAGCGATAGTAATAAAAGAGTGTTCGAGAAGGCGGTCCGTACGCACCCGTGCTGTGCGGGCGGTGCGCGTGCGACTCAGCGGCCGGCGGCGAGCCCAGCTGCGCCGCCTGCCGCGCCAGTCGCCGCGGCGACGTGCCGTGCGACCTGCTGCCCGTCACAATCCACAACGGTAACCATCACATCCACATTTTCCTTGTTTTTTTTATGGTACTTAGCAAACGAGCTAACGACCTATCTAATGAAAAACCGTGACGGTCGCCTATAGACAAACACCATGGAAATCACAGTACAGGAACATCATAGTACCGCTCATGAATTACCATTCCTGAAGACTATCTATAGTGTTATGCCTCCGTACCCGTAATGTTACTGTCACTATCATATCCCATCCTTCAAACCACAACACATCCATACCAGTCAAAACTGCTTCACGGTAATGACAAAAGTACCCCATGCAGAAGAATTATGTATAAAAGCAACCCCTAGTTCTTGAATCCTATGTAAAGTATATACGATAAAAAGTTTAAAATACAACGTTTACATACGAATCGTCGCTTATTCGTAATTCACATAGCATAACCACTCATATACATTTGGTCCTTCGAGTCGGATTTTAACTTTATAGTGAATTTTAATGTGTTGTTGTTGTTAAAATGTTCATAACCTATATTGACTGAATTCAATATAGGTTATGAACAAATATAGTGCATACTATAGAAAGAGAGACTTTATAAACTTATTAATAACAGTGTATAACTGCGGACACAACATTTCATAATATTTCTTTCTTAATCAACTGTTAATAAAATAATATTTCCAAGTTAGCAACTCTAATAAAATGTTTTGGTGCCGTGACCAGGATACAGCCAAACTTATCTCGTAAGAAAAATACTGAAAGAAATTAATAAGTGAATTAGTTTACAGTTGCATTACCTGCTACCTTCCGATGGAAACTTTTTCAATTCTTGAGGTCTATCTGTCGGCGTTGGCGTTGGTTCTAAATCTGAACGACTCGAATCCGTTTTATCAGTTGAATCGTCTAAAAATTAAACATTTCTATGAGCCACTTGTTTTATTTATAACTATTATAGATTTATTCTATAAATAAATTTCAATTTTGCTATAATATTAATAAAAAATATACCTGGCGGCAAGCTTAACGCCTCTCGCACCCTATCCACTAGGGCGTTAAATACTGGATATTGTTCTTTGTTTGGTTTTGGGCCAATCGGAAGCAACCTGTAAATAATTGTTATAATGATCGAATAAAATAAACATTACTAAATAATATACAGTTATTCATCAGATCGCATCAAATTACATCACCATTGCTTAATATTTCACAATGATAATGATGACAGAGTAATCATTTTTGATAATTAAAAATAAACCCAATTCACATTGTCGTAAAGACTACAAAGTTATAACAGCGAGTAGTAGAACGCTCACCGTTCCTGCGGCGGGATGTGGAATGGCTGCGCGAGAGGTGCATGCGGGGCGAGGGGCGCAGGGCCAGCGGCGGGCCCGCGCGGCGCACTCCAGCCTAGCTCCATCCGCGACAGCGGCGACTCGGGCGACGCATACGTGCACCCCGCGCCTGCACCATCACCGCTCTACTATAGTCTATGTTAGAGGGGGTGGGGGCACTTGTCTATGTATGTGTGTGTAGAGGAAAATTGATTACCTGGACTCTTGATGTGATGGTGATGCGGAGGCGGTGAACGCGAGTGCGGCCAGGCGGCGAACTGACCCGAGCCCACCGACGACGGCGCCGTGTCCGGGGACGTGCTGCTGCCCACTGCGTGCCGGTGAAAGATCATACCGCAAGTTATAACGTCCCAGTCAAGGAAGTTAAGGATTGTTGGTAATCGAGTATAGCAACCCTATTGCTAGCAATATACCATTTCGGGATGACCTTCATGCGGCCTCTTCTGAACTATCGTGGTTTATCCATGAATTCGTCGCAAAATTGTACCTCATTCTCACCCATCATCTTTACCCCTTCTTTGCACGATTTTTTTATTGGTGAAATAAATCAAGGTGATATAATTCATGTTCAAAATTAAAAGAAAAATGGTTAAAAAAATAAATTTGTCCATTGCAGAAAAATATGGTTATTTTTCTGTATCCAGGATACATTAAAAAGGTATCCAGACACGATCGACCTAAAGTGAAATTGTCCCTTTATATAATTTTTGGGCATTCAATGTTATGATGGAAATTTCCACCAGTATGCAAAAAAGGGTTAATTAATGCCCCACCAGAATATACCGATAGCACAGGCAGATAGACAATTTTATTTTTATCCAGTTAAAAGAAATCATCATAAACTCTATCTCATTATCGTCCTATCATTGAACACGGGTCTGTCCCCATTAAGAAACAATATTAGCTTTTTATGTTAAAATGACACGTTCCTTCTTTTTGAAGTCTATTGAAAACTAGTAAAAATTTATGTAAATAAAAATTACATAGTATACCAACATACTCACCGACTATCCGTTTCTGCTTGCCTAGTACCTTGGTTCGCGGCGACGTCTGTTGCCCATGCAGCTGATCCGGCCAGATCTCCACCGACTGACCGCTCATTGGCGTTGATTTCCTAGTACAGTGCGTACTATAGAAAAAGAGACTTTATACAAAAGTCGTCTGTTTGGGTACTTCTGTCCATTCGTGTTTCTGCCGTAAAGCAGTTGTGTTTGCATGGCTGTGTTTCGGTTTGAAGGATGAGATAAGGCAGTGAATTTACAGGGTACAGAGGAATAACACCCAAGTCCTCAGTAATGGCGACGCATGAGGGACGAGATAGGCGACATAGTTTATTCTGTTATATACACGGTGCTGTTCATGTCTAAGCGACGGTTACTACTTTCCATTAAGTGGACCATCAGTTTGTTTGCCATTTTAAGTTACTAAAAAAATATTGTATTCTGCAATTCTGTTTATATTTCGAATGACATATAAATCGATCCAAAGGCATCATTCTCTATCTCCAAAATAAAAATTTCAATTTATGATTACAGAGACAATATTTAATAAGAACCCGTATTTTTTTTATAGAATTACTTTGCATTTAATTCTCTATGGTTCATATCACAATAATTTCACATCACTGTGACACAGAAAATTTAGAGTTTTAGCCGTTAACTGTTCACTGCTGAATATAGCCTTCCCCCATAAAGAAGGGTTTTGCCAATAGTTGCCACGCTTGGCAGACGGATTGGCAACCGCAGTTTGACTTTTGGTGATGTTTTAAGGAGATGCTGCTGCCCATCCCTCGCCGTCCCTTAGTCGCCTCTTACGACACTTACGGGAAAGGAAGGGGTGGCCTATTCTATGCTAGGACCTCCACAGCAAATTTAGAAAATAATACCTCAGAATAGATTCACTTAGGCCTATACAATACTAACAAGTTAGACGAATCACTGCCGATAGATACAGAAGAACTCGTCGATAGTTGGTGAGCCGATCGCGATCCCACCGCGGCCGTTTGCTGAAAAAAGAAAGAATAAATACTTAATAATACTCTGGATTACGACTTATTTAAAATAACAACTGTCCAGTCCAAATAAGCCTTGGGGGGTTTTGTCAGTAGTTGCCACGCTTGGAAGGCGGATTGGCAACCGCAGTTAGGCTTTGGAGATGTTTAAGAGGAACTCTGCTGCCCATCTCATGCCATCCCTTAGTCGCCTCTTACAACACCCACAGGAATGGAAGGGGTGGCCTAATCTATGCCCGGACCACACGGTGATCCTTTCCATACTTGCATAAATATACGTACAAAATAGTAAATTGTTGATATTTTAAGTTTGGACTGAAAAATGTAACATTCGGTAATACCAGTGATTCTCGATTAGTATAGTGGTTGCAGTTAATGTTAAAATTACTTACAATTTTGCTGAGCGACTGCGGGACCGATGTCGCTGGTGTGTCAATTTTAGGCGGATCCTCATAATGAGACGGTTCGTCGAACGAGCCCTGGACAAAATTTAATTCAGACATTAAATTAACTAACACGCTCCATAGCTTAAGGACCTGTTCACACAGTATGGGGCTGTAGAGTCATAAAATTAATCAACTAAGTGATTTTACAAACTCGAAACACACTAAAAACATAAAAATTTATAATGGCAAACAAACTGTCGCCAACCTGATGGAAAGTGGTAATCGTCGACTACAGACATGAACAGTACCATAGACATAACAGAATGTACTCTGTCGCCCATGATAGCCCCTATGTGTGGTCATTCCTGAGGACTAAGGTAACCTATAGATATGAAAGTAGTACCACATATACTGTGTCGCCCTGTCGCCCATTTGTAAGAACTTTATTATACATAATACATTTAGTAAAAAAGGCGTATAAAGGTTCTTCGTTCATGCCTCGTGTATGCATAAGCGATGTCACGTGCATGTTGTCGACTTCCGAGTTGATAGGAATCGAGAAGTGAAGCAGTATGATGATACTATGCTCGTCAATATATAATAATAATAATAACTTATTTATGTCTCCTCATTAACAACTTCAATTATACATATGAAGCATTTTGGATAAAATCATAATAATACAAACAACTGCTATGAGAGAGCTAATGTCTGAAATAATGTCTTTGCAAAAAGGCAATTTAAAGCTGAATGAACATGCTATCCGATCTATGTAGTGTTTAAGTTAGAAAATTTTTTCCAAGTTCGTAGACCAAATAAAAAGAACCAAAAAAATTTTGAAAAAAATTTCGTTTCGGTAATCATTAGGATTGAGCAAATTAGTGTATAAATGATATTTAGAATAATTTACATTTTATTTGGTTACTTTTTTGTATTTACTGTGTCTGACTTGCGCCATCTACCTTTCTCTTTGTATTTATTTACTATTTATGCCAGGTTGTCTGTAAGAGATTGCTTTTAGCGATAAAGCCGCCTTTTGTATATGCACATTCTCTATAAATACACCTTTATACCCTACAGAAATTATTATTATTTTTCTTTTGTAATATATATATATATATATAATATAAAATAATAATATAAAAAACTAACGGGCGCAGTGCTGCCGTGAACGGTGGTGTCTGATTTATCGCTGGTCTCCGGGATGGCGATCAACTCGCTCTCCGACGATTCCTGCTCTAGACTCCACTGCTGGTATCTGGAAAAAAAAAAGCTGCACTTGTAGAACTATTTATTACAAGCTTATTGCCTACTAGTTCTATGCGTGGATTTCAGAAATAGGAAAATAATGAAACAGACAACCTCTAGTGATGTGTCAAGATAAAACATGTACCAGTTTTTAAATTAGGCCTTCTGAAACATAATTGTAAAAATCGCACAAAATTTTGTATAGTAGTGTTTGGCTGATGCCAGAATAAATATACAGACAGTGAGACATAAATTTGAAAAAATTTTGTTTCGGTCTCTATAACTTTACGGTCAACTTTGTATTTATTAAATATGTCTATACTAACATTATAAAGAGAAAAGATTTGTTTTTTTTTAACGTATGTTTCTTAGTAATTAATAAACTCAAAAACTACTTAACCGGTTTTAAAAATGTTTCGCTTATTGTAAGCTACATTATCAGCAAGGAACATAGGCCTTCATATATTAATAAAAAAATTGAGATTTTACAGTAATGTAAATCTAAATATCGAAAATATGGCTATTTAAGTTAATATACGAAATACTAGTGATCAATGCCTGCCAAGCGTGGCAACTACTGGCAAACCCCCCGTTATAGGGGAGGCCTATGTTCAGCGGCGAGTTAATAGCGGATATGATGGTGAGTGGTGACAAGACGGGAGGCGTGGTCGGTACTTGTGCGGCGCGGGCTCCTCCCAGTGCGTGTGCATGTGCGCGGGCGACTTGTGCAGCTTGCCGGCCTTGCGCTCGCCGGCCGCCGGGCTGCCGCCCGCCGCCGCTGCCGCCGCCGCGCCCGCGCCCGCCATCGCTCCCGCTCCGCTCGTCGCCGCCGCCGCCGCCACCGCCACCCCGCAAGCGGACAGCGGCTCGTGTTCCGTCTTCACTGACGGCTGGTTTACATCTGTAGTAAGCAAGGTACCGTGCTCAGTAAAACATAAAAAGAAAATCACTCAATAAATAGCTAAACTATAAAGAATCTTAAATTGAATTAAAAGAAAAGAAAGATTAAAGCCGCTTTCTACCATCGTACGGCTCGCCATCGACAGGGAGTTCATCCTCATGTCCTACAGCCTCAATGGTCGCGTACTGCGCGGTTTCAGAGATGTTTCCTCCCACGAACACTCAGGTTCTGGAATGAGCTCCCTGCCGAGGTTTTCCCAGAAGACTACAGTATGGGGTTCTTCAAAAGGGGGGTAAAGAGGTTTCTTCAGGGTCGGCAACCGCTTATCATCAGGTGGGCCGTATGCTTGTTTGCCACCTCAGTGGTATAAAAAAAAAGAGTAATAAAACGAAAGGAAAAATGATATTACTTCTTTTATATATGTTCCTTTTTTTTTGATATATGTATTCTTTTATTTTTTATTATTGTATACGTCTATCTATGTCTGTTGTTATTTGTGTACTGTATGTAATCCAATAAATAAATATATATCTATCTATCTATTGTGAACGTCACAGTGATCTGTGATATTTATGATGCTTCTCATATCTACAAGCGACAGCTAAACGTTTCTACATGTAGATCGTCAACTTGAATATTATTGGTCGTTCGATAAAAAAATATAATGACCTCTGTTCCTCGCGTGCTGCGCGTGCTGGGCGTGCTGGGCGTGCTGCGCGTGGTGGTGCGGCTGGTGCGGCAGGTGCGAGTAGTGCGGCATGACGAGCATGGGCGGGATGCGCTTGCACTGGTGGTACTGCGCCTCCACCGAGCACAGCACCACGCGCACCAGCGCCTGCACCTGGCTGCACAGCGCGCCGCTGCCGTAGTGGTACTGCGCCCACAACACAACCCATCAACCTTCAATACTTAGCCCCAGTTGCTGCTTACGCGAGGAGAGTATTTCTCCACTATTAACATCTTCATAGACAAGTGACAAACGATTCTATCGATAGAATCGTGTCAGCTAGTACTCGCATGAGATAAAACAAAACAATTCACGCCTCTATCATTTAATATCTTATTACTTACTAGCGATCCACCCCGGCTACGCACAGATTCTTCTTTTGTTGACATTTTTACGGTGTACAATACTCTAGTGCTATATTTTGATTTATCTCGTGGGGTTCAGCCAGTGTTTGCAATGTAAGCGCTAAAAAAATGTGTTTATTTACGACATATCATTAGAAACCTTTAAATTTATCAGTGTTCCTCTACTATATTATGCATGTATTATACATATAAACCTTCCTGTTGAATCACTCTATCTATTAAAAAAAAACTGCTTCAAAATCCTTTGCGTTAAAGATTTAAACATACTTATTATTATCACTGTATCATATTAAGGGACTTGTTGTCATATATTATATAAGATGAATATTAATGCAGTTTATTTATATATATATTTTTTTTTATATTGTAAATTTTTAATGAAAAGTTTCGCGACTGACACTTGGCCACAGCAGAATATCAGTGTTTTGCTCTTTTAAGGGCAAAGCAATAAACTGAGCTGTGACCATTTTGTGTTACTATGGCACACGCATGAAGGAATGGTAACAAAGGAGATTGTTAGATTATATATTTTGTTTTTGTATTTTTTTTTTTTATTTGTCCTTTTTTTATTTTTATTCTTTTGTCTCTTTTGCTGTGTATTACGTGTATGTTTTTTTTTTTATTGTAATTTGTGTGCTGTAAGTAATGTAAATAAATTATCTATCTATCTATCTATCTATTATACTCGTAGTTACGGGAGTAGCTGGACGTACCTTGTACAGCACGACCAGCAGCGCCATGAGCCAGTGGCGGCGCACGTGCGGCTCGAGCGGCGCCAGCGTGGCGCCCGCCGCGCCGCCCGCCGCCGCGCCGCCCGCCGCCGCGCCCGCGCCGCCCGCGCCGCCGCCGCAGCAGTACTACGCATGCACAGGCCATTCACTACCCGCATACGTATATCCACTTTAACACGTCAACGCTTTCGGAGACTTGCGCTAACGCCACATTAGGCCGAACTTCGGTCGCGTACCTTCGGGACGTACCACCGCGAAACGCGCCCGGCGTTCAAATCTCAACGTACCGATCTTCATATGATATGCCGCAATCAGCAGCTGATCCGCGTTTGTTTACTTGTGTTGATAAGTAGTCATACAACTAAAGATCGGCGGCCGAACACGGTAGCGACATTCGACTTCGGTTGCCGATCTTGGGTCGGATGAGTATCTACCAATGCGTGCAATGAACGCAGACCGTCCGCCAAATATTAGTTTACATAAAACAGCACTGCTGCCAAGCATAAATCTACGTATATAATAGGATACCAGATGCGAATATATTCCGGTATTCCGTTAACATAGTGACTGATATTATAACGTAATACGACCAAGAGTACTGAATTGTATATAATGTAATATATATAATGTAAAATATATAATGTTTCGCTGTGGATATTCGACAAAGACACAATAAATATGATACTAATCTAAGTCTACTAAGATAACTAATTGTCCCCTAAAAAAATATTTTATAACAAAATTATATTTTTCATCCAAGCCTATATTACCTATTTCACCGATCACCATTCAGTTTTGGCTTGTATATTAAACACAGTTATATTGTAGTAGCGTGGCCCAGGGATAGAATAGGCCAACCTTTCCTTTCCCGTGGGTGCCATAAGAGGCAATTAAGGAGTTTAATGGTCAAGGCCATTCCTCGACCATCAAATTCCATAATTGGCTGCAGCTAGCATGTCTTAAAACATCACCAAAACCTAACTGCGGTTGCCAAGCCGCCTATCAAGCGTGAGAACTACTCGCAACCTCCCCCCCCCTCCCTTTATGGGGGAGGCTATGTTCAGTAATGGACATTTAACGGCTAATATGACGATAATGATGTTCTGGATAGTAAAAATAAAAAATAATGTTTATTTGGGATCTTAATTTACAGTTTTCTTTTTAGGTTACGATAATAACTGCATTAGTCATAAAGAGACTGTGTTGTAGCTATTAACGCCCGCTCCATAACATGCGGTACAAAATTTAAATAACAATAACACAAGAGAAAATTAATAAAATTACTAAAAAAAAAAGTATCACAAACTTTACTGTAAACAATAAAACTTACCTGAAGTAATAGCAACGTGGGTTCAGCAATACTAGCACCCATCACGTGATTCTGATCCAAAACTTGCGGTAAGTTCGCCATGAACGCGTTGAAAATCGCCGATTGCCTGCAACAAAAACGACTCAGCCGTGAATTGCACTCATGAATCAGGGCTCCTACTGAGTTCGAAACTAATCGACCATCCCCAAATTTAAATAGTGAAAAAATACAGCTGTCATAAATAATTACAATACAGTGTGATTCACGATAGTTATTGTTCAACGATATACAATCATGTATCATGAGCAACTTTTAAGCGACTGTCAAAAGTATCCAATTCCTCTGAACTTCTTTTGTGAGTGAAGACGCCTAGTCTGAACCGATTTTCACTATTGTTTTTGCAATGAATGAAGGGTTTGCTGCCGAGTTGGTGTCATATTATTTTTTGTGACAATTGACAAAAAACAAGAAGTTCTCAATTTGGCTATACTTTTTTGTTTAAGTCATAAATCCATCATTCATAAACCGATTAGAAAAATTATATTTTATCTAAAAATCTTTTACTTTCAAATTAATCCCATATTAATCTATTTGATAGTTTAGTTTTTAAATTAAAATAACGTTTTTTTTTTGCTACGATTTAAGTCGGTTTTTTTAGTGTAACAAAATTTTTTATTATTCCTGTCTCAAAGAACTTGAGAACGTTATACTATATATATTTTTTTTATACCACTTAGAATGGCAAACAAGCTGACTGCCCACCTAATGGAAAGTGGTAAACGTCGCCTATAGACATGAGCAGTACCATGGACATTACAGAGTATACTGTTTCGCTCATGATAGCCCCCATGCGTTGCCATTCCTGAGGACTCAGATGTTATTCCTCTGTACCCTGTAAATTCACACCAATCTATTATCTTTGATAATCATCATACCTCAATGTGTATGGTGAAATATGGAAATATTTCTCGACGCAGTTGTATCCCAACAGCAAGAACAAATGCTTCAATACCAATTCTTGACTTTTCATCGATGCTTTATCTTCGTTCGGATGAGCCTGGTCTGATCTGAAATAAAATATACTCTATAAGGCTACCTTCCCGCAGCGAAACCAAAAACAACTTTATTCATAAATAAAATTAGTCATCGAATATACTTCCTTTAGTTATGTAAGTGTCTTGTTTTCCACGCTGATTCTCAGTTTAAGAGACAATGATAAAATACTAATAGTTAAAGTAGGTATACCAGAGGGAGACTTTGTACAAAAGTAGTTTACTTGGGCACCTCTGTCCCTTTCGTGTTTCTACCGTGAAGCAGTTGTGTTTGCATGGCTGTGTTTCGGTTTGGCAGTGAATTTACAGGGAATTCATTCATTATGGCAGGGAATTACAGGAAAAACACTTGAGTCCTCAGGAATAGTATCATGGGCGAAACAGTATACTCTGTTATGCCCATGGCACTGCTCATGTCTATAGGCGACGGTTACCACTTTCCATCAGGTGGGCCATCAGCTTGTTTGCCATTCTAAGTTGCATAAAAAAATGGGTTTACAGGTTTTTATTTTAATAAGTATAATTATATTACATGTCTCGATGGATCTATAATTAAGTAATAAATAAATAATCTATAACTTTGATAGTGATATGCTCGAAAGTTTCCATTTAGGAACTAGATGGCGTTGCGGGATATTTCTATTACTATTTAGCAGTTACCTGGATAAAAACTGCATCAAGAGGAACACCAATAAGTTTGTGGTTTCCCGGTCGGCTTCTTCCAGGTCTACAGCTTTAGGCAGTACTGTTGTAAGCGTCTCTTCGGTCGAACGGCCAGATAAAGAATGAAACCCATCTATTGAAGAAAAAAAAATAGTTTAGTATTTCAATTATGTAATATTCAGATTTTTTTTTAAATTATTTCCCAATAAATGCTATTTATATATTTGTTATAAGTAGGTAACATATTTACTTGGGGAGATAAATACTCCTGTCAACTGTGATTCGCTTAAAAAAAATTAAAACATCTGTATTACAGTCTAAAGAACCCTTTCCTACGATTTGTCTAACAGAAATGTAGACAGATACAAGCAACTATGCTTACATAGTCAACTTACAAGGTGCTCAGACACAATATCTTAATCCCGAGAACTGAATAGTAACTCATGCAATACCATGAAAGTACGTATCTAAGATGTATTATATATATATATATATAGTGATGGTTATGTCTTTAGGCAACTATAGACTTTCTATCAGTTATTCCTCTATTTCATTAGGATTCTTAGTTTTCTAAACAAAGATATTTATGATATGTTAAGATGTAATAAGAAAGCAAGTGCTTGGGCGTGATGAACACACGTGTGCGTGTGTGTGCGTGTGCGTGCGTGGGCGGCGTGCGCGTGCGTGCGTACCGTGCGAGTTGGAGGCGCGCGGCGGCGGGCCGAGCGGCTGCGGCGTGGCCAGCAGCTGTCCGAGCCCGAACCGCGACGTCTTGCGCTTCAGCAGCGGCGCCGAGTACTGCCGCGAGTACACCTTCTCGCGCTCTGCACCACATACATACACATGCACATACACAATAAAAATAAAATAAAAGTAAAGATAAAAGAAGCATTTATTTATTGTTTATATTAAAATTGAAAAAATGGTTATTAGATAAAAATTTCTACAGTATAAATTAATTTTTGCACATTTATAAATGTATGTATTAATGAGTATTTATAATAATTGATTGAAAGATTGTTATTGTCTTGTTATGACATTAATTTATTGATGAAACTTAAATTAAACCTTATTTTATATTTTATTTTTTTATTTTATTTGACATATATTTTTTTAATTATTTTATTTTATAACTGTTTTTACTAGTCATTATGCATAATCCAAAGCGTGCATTTGATACAAACAGTAATAATGTGTCATCATTAATATTATACAATATAATGACTTGTTAAAAATTAAATAAATATATGTAAAATTTATTTATTATTTATTTATACATACGCCGAATTGAAATCAATTCAGTGTACGTGCAAATAAATAAATGGAATATTTGAATTGATGAAATGCAATTAAATGATAAATGTTTTTGTGTAATGGCAAGCCCTGTGGCGCTAACGGTGTACGGTGTACGGTGTAGGGTGTAGGGTGGGTACCGAGGCGCGCGTCGGGCGGGTGCGGCGGCAGCGTGGCGGGCGCGGAGATGGTGCGCTTGTAGGGCCACTTGGGGCCGAAGGAGGCGCTCAGCGAGTGCGCCGCGCCCGCCTGCAGCGCCGAGTGCGCGCGCCGCACCTTCGACACGAACCACTCCGAGCTCGCCGAGCTGCTCACCAGCTCTGCACCCACACACGTACGCCTCGTGTACACACATACACATACACATACACATACACATACACATACACATACACATACACATACATATACGCTCGCCAAACGGCACGATGCAACTTCGACGATCCGGCTCGAAGGACCAACCACGTATACGGACATATTTACAAGTTATTAGAGTAAATTATAATGTTTAAAATATCTGAAAATTTCTTTTAGGAATTAAGTTTAACTTCGATGATCCGGCTCGAAGGATTAACAACGTAAGGGTACATCTCTAAATTGTTGTAATAAATCACAATATTAAAATTAGTCACATTAAAATTTGGAATCTCAATTTAACTGAGACAATCCTTCTCGATTAATCCAAAACGTAGGATTATATCACTATGGGGCTATAATAAATTATAATATTTACGAGGAATATGCTACTATAATCGATAATAAAACTTTCCACAAGCACTTAATTCATTGCTCTAAAAAATATACAGAAATTAAAGTTCTTTACTGCTGAATACATAATACATTCTCTTACATATACAATAAAAAATACATCGTCAAGCCTGACTGACTCTGCGACTGAATATTGGGCCTGTGCCATTAACTCTTATTCGATTGGATGGAGTTCCTAATACAAATTGATTTTTAGACGGCGTATTAAACAACACGTATATAAATAAAACAAGATTTTAATTATTCAAATACAGTTAAAAGATAAAATAGTTAAACATAAAAACAATTAAGAAAATAACGCACAAACTTACCAATCAAAATAAACAGCAAACACAAACAAAATTAACCTGTCAAACATAAAATAAAAGTTTTGTTAACAAACTAATAAAAAAAAAAATTAAAAAATAAGAAATTACTAAAACTTTAACAAATCTTTTTCTTTAGGAAAAAAAAAAAAAAGAATTCATGCAAAAAAAACCCTCACCTCTCAAGTTGGAAAAGTCGATAGTTTTGTTCGAATTGATCTGTGCCTCTAGGAATAGCGCTTCGAAACGATTGAGGAAGAAGTCCCAGTTGAGTATGCGGCGGTCGCTGAGAGTGTTGTGCAGCTGGTAGATGGACTGCAGCACCATCGGACGGTCCACGATCACCAGGTCAAACTGTGTCTCCAGACAGTACAGCAGAAGCTGTGGACATATTACATACTAGATACCTGCTCTTTCACATGGGTAGATGAAAGATCTTTTTGAATAGAATAGAAAAGAATAGAAAAAAAATATTGCCAGAATGACACAATTACAAAAGAAAATATAAAAATATTACATATATAGAAAGTGTCTCATATTAGGCAAAAGGAACTAGCTCAGCTGATGCTGTGAGTGTCCTAGTGCAATGTGTACAGCTATACAGCGCTGGTTTTCAACCAGTCCCTCTCTTAACAAATCTTTTGTAAATATATATTGCCCTAGTTACTCGCTAATCTAATAAGAAATATAGCTTTCTATAGACGAAAGAGTTTTTGAAATCGATTAGTATTTTTAGAGTTTATTCATTACTAACGGTCCGCCCCGACTTCACAAAGAAAAATTAATATTTTAGCTTTAATAGGCAAATTTTTGATACCTTGGGCTACATTATTATATTTCAGTACAGATCTGTAGTTTATTATGAAGTAAAATATATCCTATGCTATTCGCTGTGGTTTATAGGTTATAAAATTTTTAAAAACGCTTGAGTAGTTTCCGAATTTATATATTACAAACAAGCAAAAAAAAATTTTCCTCATGATAATAGAATCTTGATTATATATGTACCTACAGAGCGCCAGGCTGTTCCAATCCAGGTAAAAATTGTACTATGAATACTAGACAACTGATACTTAAATACCTTTTCAGTGCCCATAATTAGATATACACGAAAACCTGACATAATAGTATATGTGTAAGTACGAAAATAGAACCAGTAACTATTGGAAGGTGGGTCAGTAAGGTGGACGCTTCAATTCGTCACGCAGTATACAACAGGAACGTTGTTGCCCATCTCTCGACTCAAACTCCCTTAGTCGCCTCTTACAATACCCACGTGCAAGGAAGAGGTGGCGTATCCTATGCCGAGACCTCTCTCTCTCTCTCTCTTTGTCCTCTTCATTACTGAAGGTCGTGTCCTTGAAACGTGTCTGTTGCCTCTCTTATGATGTTATTCCATTTTACACGGTCTTCAGCTTCTCGCAGGGCAGCTGCAATCGACAGTCCCGTAACGGCGGTTATCTGGTCCGACCATCGATTAGGCGATCGTCCGCGTGGTCTTTTTCCCTCTATCTTGCCTACAACCATTAGTTTGTCCAGATTGTCGGACTGTCGTCGAGCAATATGACCGAAGTATCCAAGAATCCTCCGATAGCAGACTGTCGAGAGCCTATCTTTTATGCGGAGTCGCGTCAGGATAGATATATTTGTGCGCTTTGCTGTCCAGGGACCACACGGTACTAAAAGAGGGGGAAAGAGATTGCTAGTAATGGAGTCTGACAGCCCCATTGCTAACAATATGCCCTATTAGGTCAACCTACACGTGGTTCCCCCTAGAAACCATCGTGAACAATTCTTGTTGAATTCGTCACGATAGGCTAACTGACCTGCTTCATCCTCGCCTGTCATCCTTCATTGGTGCCCCGCCGGTATATACCGATAGCGCGGGTGGGGTTACCAATCCATTATCACCCATTAAAAAAAACACGGTACTCAAAATGTTTACTACAATGGTATTTCCCTAATAATAGTTACCTCAATGGCGTTATCATGTATGGTGCCTATATAGAGGGTGGCTCGCTGTGCAACGTAGACATTGATGTCGTCCATGCTAGAGATTAGGTAGCAGAAAGCAGTCGCCAGCGCTGTCTGTAGCGGCAAGCTCGTCTTCACCGGTGACCCGTCCATGAACCTGTGTTTACATATATGTAAATTATTCATAATAATAATAATCCTTTCTAGAATTTTCTCAAAAATATATTAAAAAAATATAATCACCAGCTCTTTTCGATCAATTACAAAATGTATTATGACAACAATGGAAATTACTGGACATTTGAAACTGTTCTGTCCTACATCCCATTCTAATCCTGATTTGCTTGATGATGACAGTGACAATTTCAATGGCGGTGAAGTGATGCAGTGAGCTAAATAACTTAAACAGAATTCCTACTAAACTCATTTCAACTTCCCTGATGATGATGGTGATGCACTCGTCAGCGTAGCCCTTGCTATTGAGCTATTCTAAAATGTGTACACAGAAGTTCCGCTAAGCACGTGTCGACACGTGTGGTGTCAACTTGCCTGATGATGATGGTGATACACTCGTCAGTATAGCCCTTGCTATTGAGCTATTCTAAAATGTGTACACAGAAGTTCCGCTAAACACGTGTCGACACGTGTGGTGTCAACTTGCCTGATGATGATGGTGATGCACTCGTCAGCGTAGCCCTTGCTATTGAGCTATTCTAAAATGTGTACACAGAAGTTCTGCTAAGCACGGGTCGACACGTGTGGTGTCAACTTGCCTGATGATGATGGTGATGCACTCGTCAGCGTAGCCCTTGCTATTGAGCTATTCTAAAATGTGTACACAGAAGTTCTGCTAAGCACGTATCGACACGTGTGGTGTCAACTTGCCTGATGATGATGGTGATGCACTCGTCAGCATAACCCTTGCTATTGAGCTATTCTAAAATATGTAAACTGAAGTTCCGCTAGGCACGTGTCGACTCGTGTGGTGTCAATTTGCCTGATGATGATGGTGATGCACTCGTTAGCGTAGCCCTTGCTATTGAGCTATTCTAAAATGTGTACACAGAAGTTCCGCTAAGCACGTGTCGACACGTGTGGTGTCAACTTGCCTGATGATGATGGTGATGCACTCGTCAGCGTAGCCCTTGCTATTGAGCTATTCTAAAATGTGTACACAGAAGTTCCGCTAAGCACGTGTCGACACGTGTGGTGTCAACTTGCCTGATGATGATGGTGATGCACTCGTCAGCGTAGCCCTTGCTATTGAGCTATTCTAAAATGTGTACACGGAAGTTCCGCTAAGCACGTGTCGACACGTGTGGTGTCAACTTGCCTGATGATGGTGACGCACTCGTCAGCGTAGCCCTTGCTATAGTTCCGCTAGGCACGTGTCAACACGTGTGGTGTCAACTTGCCTGATGATGATGGTGATGCACTCGTCAGTATAGGCCTTGCTATTGAGCTATTCTAAAATATGTAAACAAAAGTTCCGCTAGGCACGTGTCGACACGTGTAGTGTCAACTTGCCTGATAATGATAGTGATACATTCGTCAGTATAGCCCTTGCTATTAAGCTATTCTAAAATATGTAAACAGAAGTTCCGCTAGGCACATGTCGACACGTGTGGTGTCAACTTGCCTGATGATGATGGTGACGCGCTCAACGGCCGTGAAGCGCACACGGTGGTCTTGGTGATGGAACTGGTCGCGGATGAGGTTGCAGAAGACGTCGGCGCCGCCCGCCAGCGTGACGCAGTGCAGCAGCACCGGCACCGCCACCGAGCTGATGTGCGAATGCGACGCATTGCACACGTTCCACAGGCTGCCAATTGTATTACTTCATCAATTGTATCATTATTCTTATGACAAAACTCTTTAAGACTCGGTTTTTTATAGATACTTAGAAAGGGATGTGACGTAAGGATATATTAGAAAAAAGCCCTTGTGTATAACAAAAGTGGCTTAGAAACTTAACAGCACACGGCGACATCTACGCACGAGTAAATGAAATAATAAAGAAATACCACTGAACATATTAGACAACTATATATAGAATAGCATCGCTTTCATTTCCCGTGGGTGTCGTAAGAGAACTTATGGAGGAGATGGGCAGCAGCGTTCCTCTTTAAACATCACCAAAAGCCAAACTACGGTTGCCAACCCGCCTGCCAAGCATGACAACTACTGGCAAAACCCCCCATATAGGAGAAATTATGTTCAGCAGTGGACAGTTAATGGTTAATACAGAATACTACTCAACGCCATCTAGTTAAAACTGAGCGGAGTTTTTACTGTGGGTACTATAGCATACTTGTCGATGAGCAGGTTCTCCTGGCACCAGATGAGGAAGCCCCTGTGCTCGGCGAGCGCGTCCGCGTTCAGCACCAGCACCTGCAGGCACTGCAGCAGGTGGTACAGCACGTCGGGCCGGGATGTGCTCTTCAGCTCCTGTACGTTTATTGGAGACGACACTTGTACTTTGGAAACATTAATTGACAATGGACTGGGTAATGGAACATTCGATATACCCACCTTTCATCAGAGAAAAAAGAGATTTATTATTATTTTTTATTTTATTTACTGAGGAATCAAATCGACAATCTAATCATTACAGAAATCGCCAAAGCGCTTTGCAATATATCGTTAGGTATGGTCTCTAATAGGAGAACACTAACTAGGAGCCCTATTGCTGGCAATATACCCAAAGAGCGACCTCCACGTATTCATCATGATGGGTTAACTGACTTGCGTTTTCATCATCACCTATCATCCCTTACTGGTGCCCCGTCAGCGTTTACCGATAACCCGAGCGACGTTATCGTGCCAGCAATATACTATATCAGGTCAATGTCTACATGCTCCCCTCCAGAAACCGTCGTGATTAATTCCTAATTACTTATTAATTCATTACGATAGCCTAACTGATTTAACTTCATATTCACCTATTTTTTTTTTAACAAAGAATGGAATGGTAACGCCTCTTGCACTATGGTATATGCTGGCGAGACACCAGTGAGTGATAGATAGGTGAAAACGAAATCAGGTCAGTTAGCACATCGTGACGAATTTTACGAGAATTAACCACGACGATTTCCAGGAGAAACCACGTGGTGGTCGACCTGATAAGGTATACTAATAGTAATGAAGCTGTTAGAGCCCATTATTAACGATCACGCGTGCAAAGTTACTATTTCACCAAAAAGCTCTCCTAGACAGGGGCAAAAAGAAAAACAGGGCCATTCTACTCTATTACTAACAATACTTTTGCAAAAGATGCTGACCTGTAACAGCTGGTGGATGTACTGCAACTCCTGCGGCAGCTCGTCGATGCAGAAGTGGAACTTGCCGGCGGACGTCGGCCAAAAGTTGGTCATATCATCATCGACCGATTCCCCCATAGCTTCGTGATCACCGAGCAAGTTCGGTGTGGATACCTATTATGATTTTTTTATACAACTTATGTAGAATAGCAAACAAGCTGACGGCCCACCTGATGGAAAGTGGTAACCGTCGCTTATAGACATGAGCAGTACCACAGACATAACAGAGTATACTGTTTCGCCCATGATACCTCCATGCGTTGCCATTCCTGAGGACTCAGGTGCTATTCCTCTGTACCCAGTAAATTCATGCCTTGATTAATATAACACATTAAGTTAATAATAGAAAATAGCATATGGACTGTATAACATACAAAGGTCATTTAGTCCCAAATCAAAGGAAATATATAACTATTCTAAGTTGGTTATGTCTAGATAATTGCTATGCATCCCTTCATTATCATCGTCTCGGCCATTATCTGTCCACTGGTGAACATTAGTCTACCCTATGGACTGCCATAAGGAACGTTTTTTTTTTATACAACTTAGAATGGCAAACAAGCTGACGGCTTACCGTCGTTAAGCGGAAACCGTCGCCCATAGACATGAGCAGTACCATGGACATAACAGAGTGTACTGATTTTATTCCTCTGTACCCTATAAATTTACTGCCATATGTCATGCCTTTAAACCGAAACACAACCATGCAAACACAACTGCTTCACGGTAGAAACAAGAAAGGGACAGAGGTGCCCAAGCAAACGACTTTTGAACAAAGTCTCCCTCTGTTAATTATTTGTAATGAATAAACTCAAAAACTACTCAACCGATTTTAAAAATTCTTCCACCTATAGAAAGCTATATTATCAGCGAGTAACATAGGTTGTACATTTTGTTCGAAAGTTCTATCTATTCGTGCGAAGCCGGGACACAATGTTAGTAATTAATATAGTTTCCATTTTAAACCTTTAATGTTAATCCAAACTTTTTTTTTATTTTTGTTTTCAATCTGGATTTACAACATTTACCGCTCATTTGAATGTGACAAACTGAGAATGCATTGTTATCATTAACTGAATATAGTGAAGGGAATTTAAACAGTCGAGGGATGGGCAGAATCGTCTCTCTTAAAACATCAGCAAAACCCAAATGTGTTTTCAAACCAGCCTGCCAAGCATAGCAACTAAAAACCCCCCTAAAAATAAAGGAGGCTTACATTCAGCAGTGGATAGTTAACGACTGATAAATATATCAATCATAATGACGATGATGATGTTATAATCGGCCAGTCCTATAAAAGTAGTGTGCGTGGGTGCGTGGGTACCGGTGTCCCCGCGGTGTACTCACGTCGGCGGTGGCGGTGGCGACGTCCGTGTCGGTGAGCGTGACGGTGTGCGCGGTGACGAGCGGCGGCGCGTCGGCCGGCGGCAGCGACACCGCCATGTCCAGCTGCTCCGTGATCGTCTCCACCGTCGCCGTCATTATCTATGCAACGCCTCCTCTCGTCACACATAACTCACGTTCCATTTTCAAATTTATGTTCTATTTTTAAAATACTTATATCTTAGATTACATAGATAGAGCATCGAGCCTCATAGACGGGTCCACTTTTTGGCAGCTAATTGCCAAATTAGCTAATACGTTTTTTTATCAGTGTTCTCTATACTTACGCATAAAATATATCTTGACGCATTATTTAATGAATAAAATTAGTATTAACGCATTAAAAAGATGCAAAAATTATAAGACAAAATAAATATAAAAGTTATATATTAATCACTCATAACTATTTATTTCGCAAAATTGTATTCAAAAGTTGCCCCCTTTTTCTCGAAGCTTTTCTATGGAGACATTCTATCTATATAATCTAAGATTTATATGTGTCTGGATGATAGAAATTTAATACTCTTACTATGTTTGTCGTTTCTGATAATTGTTTATACTCAATTTAAAATAAGCTTCCATGACAAACCAAACCAAATAAAGTTTATTAAATTTCCGTCTTCCATTTATTATATATAATCTATAATTTGTTTTCAACTAATAAGAAATATTTCAATTACTAAATATATATATATATATATATTACTTCATTGATTCTATAGCTACTGAAATTTACTTCCATTTTTCAAATTCATAAAATGATATTTTAATTAGATATCAATTTCTAACTTTTTTCTTTTTAAATGCCACACAATCACGCCAAATAAGGGTGCTTGGTGCTTAAGCTAGGATATGGGGAACTAGGCGACAGATATGTGGGGACACAACCTACAATATCATTAAATTTTTATAACTTATACCTTTAAAATCTAGAAAAAAGTAACTAAAAAGCCATATCTGTATAAAATGTAAACGTAAATGGCTGTCTTACATTACATGAATTTCCTTCATATCTTAAAGTACTTTTCCTATGTAAATAGATGCCTTAATATTAGGTACATATTCACTTCCTTGTTTATAAAAACCTCAAACCTCTCATAAACCTATTATAACTATTGAACTGTTTTGTCTCTCTTCTTTTGTACTAAATCCCTAATTTGAAAGACAGTGACAAAACAATGTAACATAAAAGAGATTTGTAGAAAGTTTTAGTTTTTATGAAAAAGGGAGTCAGTGTTTATAATTATCCATTTTTTTATTATAGCATGACGTGTGACCACACCATTCTGAGCGAACACAGAGACAACATGGTCCATGAAAACGATCAATCGAAAAGAGAAAGATTAACTCTTGATCATTATTAACTAAAATCCATTCCCAGATTAACTATACCATTATTATATCAATATGTATTAATGCTACAAAGCGTATACAGTGGACATCTCATTCAAATAAGTTATAAGTTATCTACAATATCATTAAGTGATGTAACTTCCCATTTAAAACTTTTAATAAAAATCAATTAAAAATGTTTCATCATCCACCATACATTTACATGCTCTCGTAAATATTTAAATGACTGTATGATCACTAATTAGTTTTATTTAATATTTTAAAATAGCAATGAAATGGAACTAATATATTTATATTTAATTATTTAATATAATTTTTTTTATAAATAATTAATAATTTTAGATGAAATATCCATTGTGTGAAAAATTCATTTAATAGACACTCTATTAAATGAATTTTCCATCAAAACAAATAGGTGTCTACAAATATCGATCATAAGTGATCTATGATCATAGATCTATGATCAGACTTAGTTAAGCTTGACTTTACTGATGCAATTTTCATAGTAAATGTTTTGAATTTCTAATTACACAATTTTTTTTTTATAACCGAATTGATAAATCCAGAACAAAGCAGTAACAAAAAAAAGCTATATTACACTATCATTTTTTAAGAATAAAAATATTATAATGATTGGTCTCATGCCATATCCAAAGAAATATGATAGTGTAAGGCTCAGCACGCATTGCATTTCTACGCATGCGGTTTCGAACTGCCAATTTACAAGTTTACAAGTACAGTACCGATTTTTATCAGTATCTAAGGAAAAGAAAAAATATCTAGCCTTAAATTAAAAAACTCAGCTTGCAAAATTTTTATAATGCAGATTTTCATGTGTCTAATATATTCTCGGATATATTGTTAAATCGCAAATCCCTTCAAAAAGTACACAGTTGATTTCTCATAAAGTATAAGGAGAACAAAATAATGCTGGAGATATTAGATAACGTCTTGTGCTGGTTACCTCTGTATACCTAAATAATAAAAATAAAAAAATATATATATAAAAAAATATATATATATATATATATATATATATATATATATATATATATATATATATATATATATATTTGCGTTACCTCCCTTTCAAAAAATAACCAGCCCAGACGAATAACCATAAAGTACCAGGAGATCAGAATTATAAAGGAAGTATCAGTTGCTCTATAGGAATCCATTTTCAACTGCATGCGTTTTTATTTGCGGTTTGGCGATTTCAAACACTGCAAAACCGCCTGCGTTTAATCGCAAAGCGTGCTCAGCCATAGACATTTAACATCTAAACATCTAGCACACACATACATGAAAAGCCAAGGGTAAGAAAGAGACAGAACGAACATACTTGCGTGTCCCCTGACGATTTAGTCAGTGTGGGGTCCGAACCGACGTCGCTTATTAGTGACAGTTGCATGAAATGAACAAACTATACATCTATTATATAGATAGGAGTATGCTAATGAACGAACAAATGCTAGGTTAGGAATGGCGGCCCATTGGAAAATGGCGGGAAATGTTGACAGGTCTCGGCGTTAACAGAATAAAAAAATTAGATTTTTTTTAATGGATTGGGTTCGTGTATTTTGGCGTTTTAATAAGTTTATTAATTATAATAACCCAATAAAATTTTAAACGATTCCAACCCAATACGCATTTTATAATAGAGAGAAAAATCTAAAAAGTAGTAAAGTTCAGAAGAAGACCGGTAACTACAAGTGTCTATTAAAAAAGTTCGTAATTACATCAAACGTTCGTTTTTGTTACAACTGCGGTTTTTAATGGCGATAATACACCATACAATTTATGAAATTATATTAAACTACATACAGTTCCACAGTTTAAATATCTTAGAGAAAAAAAAAACATGCATTTTAATTTTATAATAATAATTTTATCAAAAAACTGCAGTGTATTTACATTTATTCGACATTCTATAGTATTGTTTAGAACATTTATAATAACCACTGTTAATTAATTAAATACTACAAACACGAACTTCGCAGTAACTTCTTCATAACGACTACACATCTATACAAAACATCATTTTTCCACAACAAGTAACATTTATATTTCGAAGTACAATACTTCTGTATCGAAGGGTTGTATGAGGGAATACGATTTGTTTTGATTATAACTGAAAATGAAGAATTTGAGTAAAATATTTTCTTTTTTTATCTCAATTGAAATTTTTACTAATCCTACTATACTACTTATATTATTCATTCCAATTTTGTAAATAAGACTGGATGGTGGTTACCCAATTACGTAAAAAAATTATGCTATAAATAAATGAAGAGATCTGAATAAAAAATTTCATTTTAAATTTTTTTTCATTCATTCATTCACTTATTTATGCAGGTAAAACTCTGAGATACAACTAGTATATTAAAAATGTATAGCATGTAACTTATTTACATTTTTTTTATTTCTATTATATTCTATCAGAGCTCATATATCAATACTTTTTTTTTGGATATGAGACTTTAAAAATGTTTTATGTACAATACGAAAAATTGAAAATATTACAAAAAAATATCAAATAATAATGAATCAATAAAAATTTATTGGTGTTCAATATTTTATTTTTATCATTTGATTTAAAAATTATAACATTTGTATCCCTAATACAACCCCACCAGTTTTTTTATCTACAAAAGCGAAGTACGTCCCCACTACCAGATGGAATTACGAACGGGGCATTTAAAAAAAAATTATAAGCGTGTATGGGCGAGACCTGGCAACACCCGGACAACAGCGCATTCAGACGGCACGCGACGACATACATACATGTGGCATATGCACCAGAACGCCCCCTACTGAGCTCTTGTCCACGCCCACGCCCACGCCCACCCCGTGCGCTATGGACATTAGGGCATCCACAGACGCCGCCGGTGTGCCGCCCGACTTGCTGCGCTCGTCCTCCGACTGATTCTTCTTCGGTTGGCTTTCGGACCACATGTCTTCCATGGACGGCTGTATAACAGTAACATAATCAAATATTATTTTATTAATGTAATAAAATTGTAAGATATTTATATCAAAGGGAAAGTTCGTACAAAAGTCCTCTGCTTCAGTACCTCTGTCCCATTCATGTTTCTACCGTGGAGCAGTTGTGTTTGCATGGCCATGTTTCAGTTTGAAGGAGATATGGCAGTGATTTTATAGGGTACAGAAGCATAATCCCTTATAAATGGCTACATACGTCGCATCATCCACGATACAGTATAATCTGTTATGCCCATGGTACTTTTCATGTCTATAGGCGACGGTTACCACTTTCCATTAGTTAGGTCATCAGCTTGTTAGCTAATCTAAGATACAAAAAAAATACCTGTCAAAAAATTAACACGTAAATTAACTAAAGTTTTATTAACTTTAAGACTTTTGCGCTATATGTTTAAACTCTCATGATAGTGACATAATTAATGTAATGTGGGACAATGAGTGGGTAGAGGAAAAAACCTCTGCCTCGAAAGCGGAGGCATGACATTGCTACATCAGTCTATTCGCGACCACTGCTGATGTAACCTGGTCGAAACGTAGAGGTATTTCAAGTAAAATCATAGTTTAACTAAATAAGCGTTAATTACCATCTATTAAACTATAATAACTGGGGGAAAGGGATTGTTAGTAATGGGATCTAACACTTCTATTGCTAGCAATGTACCCTATCAGGTCGACCTCCACGCAGTTCCCTCAGGAAACCATCGTGGTTATTTCTCATGAAGTTCGTTTCAATTAGCGATGAGCTAACTGACCTGCTTTCGTCTTCACCAATCACCACTCACTGGTGCCCCACCAATGTATACCGATAGCGCAGGCGAGATTAACATTCTTTTACGCATTAAAAAAAACATAATAACTGAAGTTGCCATATATAATTTATCAAAATTACCAATATACACACCAGACTACCACATTTTATATAAAAATAATAATAAATAATACAAAATAAAAGTAAAAAATGATCATTTTCATTAACAATAATAGTGAAGTAACAAAAGAAACAAATACATACCTCAGTGGTCTTAGGCCGGTCGGGCACGAGCGCGCGTACTAGCAACACAGCCAGTTGATGCCACAGCGCCGCTGCTTCACAGTACGAACACGCACCCTCCGAAACGCACACGGCTAACAATACACAATACAATTTATCAAATAGGATCATCATCATCATCATGATGATAAGCCGTCAATAGTCCACTGCTGAACATGAACTTTATTCACATAAATATGGGGTGGCCTACCCCATATTTATGTGAAGAAAGGTATAACATATAAAATTTTATTTTTTATTGCCAATATGAATATATTAAAAGTAACACAATGTGTATTTAACACAACCGAGACTTAAAGTGACGATAAAGTTTTCCTGTCGTGACCACGACGTGGTGCAATCCACGTCGACACGTCGACAATAAAGAAGCAGGTATGTAGGTACTATTTTACTAGAGGGAGACTTTGTACAAAAGTCGATTGCTTGGATACCTCTGTCCCATTCGTGTTTCCATCGTGGAGCAGTTGTGTTTGCATGGCTGTGTTTCGGTTTGAAGGGTGGAATATGGCGTGAATTTACAGGGTACAGAGGAATAACATCTGAGTCCTCAGGAATGGCAACGCATGGGGGGTATCATGGGCGAAACAGTATACTTTATTATGTCCATGGTACTGGTCATGTCTATAGGCGACGGTTACCACTTTCCATCAGGTGGACCGTCAGCTTGTTTGCCATTCTAAGTTGTATAAAAAAAAAGGTAATATTTACCTGTAAAAGCTTTTTCATCGCATTAAGACCCATATGTGTATTTAGAAATATGTGTAAACAAGGTGAATGTTTAAAACAAACACAATATAACATATCAAAATACACAAATATCCATCTTAGTAAAAGATTTTATATATCATATTAAATTTAGAATTTATTCTATTCTTTAATATAGCTGTTAATATGAATTTAAATGATTTATCATTTAAATTTAAAAAAAAAAATACAAAATGCAACAATATCTTTTGCTACTGACCATGTTCAACTGTGTTCAATTGGTTAGACTTGAGCATCAGTCGTAATAGTTTGGTCGCTTCACTGCTCACATTCTGAATATTAATACGACGTTGCTGCAGCTCCATCTGTTGGATATAATAGTATTATTATACAACACACAACATGGTTTTTTCTCAATGTCCTCTACTCAAAGGTTGTATGGAAGAGATTGCTTAGTGATAACATATATATATATATATATACACAACTTAAAATGGCAAACAAGCTGACGCCCCACCTGATGGAAAATGGTAACCGTGTCTTATAGACGAGCAATACCATGGGCATAACAGAGTATACTGTTTCGCTAAATGTATTTATTATTTTTATAAATTGTGCAATAAAGTATAAATAAATAAATGATTAGAAATAGAATTACACAAATATATTTAATGTAAATTTTAAATTTAGTTTTGAATAAATGGATGAATGATTGAGCATGTTACTTTAGAGAACTCATGTTTTATTTTTATTTTTTTATGCAACTTAGAATAGCTAACAATACTTGATGGAATATGATAACCGTTGCCTATAGACATGAGCAGTACCATGGACATAACAATGTATACTGTTTCGCCCATGATACCTCCCATGCGTTATCATTACTGAGAACTAAGGTGTTATTCCTCTGTACCCTGTAAATTCACTGCCATATTCCACCCTTCAAAATGAAATTAGGCATCTATAGGCTACAGTGACCGTTTACCATCAGACGAGCTTGTTTACCACCTTTGTAGTATAAAAAAAAAAACAAAGTCAGTTTCGTTTTTATAACACATTGTATAGATTTACCTGTTTCAATAGGATGTCCAGCATGAGGATGCAGCAGGTGAGGTTCTGCGGTTTCGTCTGTTCCTCTTTTTCGATCTTCTCTTTGTCAGCACCAGTTGGCGAGCTTTTGGGTTCTTTCGATTTATCTAAAGTTTGAGCAATATATGAGTATTCGATTTGGAAAATTCTTTATCTGGACATACAGATGGGTCCCATAGAAATCAAATTAACTAGTATTATCACAAATAAATACATAGATACAGATTCGCCTAGTGCGGGGTCATGCATACATTACGCATATTGTATATTTCTTGTGTTTAATAAATAAATTGAAATCGGGTTTTTTTGTGGGACACGATCTTTAATTATTACAGTGAAGGAACTGCGTAAGACGTATTTTTTATGTTTTTGGTGTGATTAATATGTTACAATAAATAGATTTTGTAAAGACCTCAATAGTAATAACATTCACTTTGTTTTTTATTTTATTTTTTTTTATGTTATTATATAAATGCGTAATCTTAATTTTATATTGTTTTGTCATATGTAACATGTATAATATAAATAAAAATATATATTCTTAAAAAAACAGTGTATTTAATTTGCTAAATTATATTATTTAAGTGAAAAGTTTGTTCAGTGTATGTGTAAATAAATAAATAATAACATATGGGTAACATAGGCTACATACTATTTTCAAAAATTCTATTAACCCGTACGAAGCCGGGTCGGATCGCTAGTTACTCAATAAAAGGGTGTTTATGATTTCTTTGGGAGGAGTGGTATGTTCTACGCCTTGTGGACAGTTAAGGACAGAATTGACCACTAAAATAATATTTGCCGTGGGTATATAATTAAAAACATTAATTTTCTACGAATGGGCAGTTTAGTCCCTCTTAAAATATCACCAAAAACTTTTTTTTTTGCCAACTCGCCATGAAAAGCGTGGCGACCATTGAAAAAACCTTTCAAGATGGAGGCTTATCTTCAGCAGTGGACAGTTAATGACTGATAACTAAAATTATATCTGTAGTATATAATTAAAAACATTTCAATTTACATAAAATAATTTTCACTAGTTTTCGGTTTGGAATAATGGTCTGAATTCACCGTTTGTCGACCTGTCCCTTACATCTTGTATAATAGTACGCCACCTACCCTTTTTCTTTTTACTTAATGCCCTTTACCCAAAGGTTGTCTGGAAGAGATTGGTTAGCGATAAGTCCGCGTTTTGTATTACGTCTCATTAAAATTAACTATATTTAATATTTTATAAATGACGCAATAAAATGTAAAATAAATAAATAAATATTTCCATTACCAGACGGTGGTTTGAATATCTTCTCTGGCATGTTGACGACGCAGTGGCTGAACAGGTCAAACAGCTGATTTAGTGGGATTTTAACCTCCAACATCGATATTGTCTGTAATACAAAAAACAATAGTTTTTTTTAACAAGCTTTTAAGTGTAATCGTCATTCGTCAAACTCTAGGCACCTACCCCTGGAAACTATCGTCAACAATTCTTGTTGAATTCGTCACGATGGACTAACTGACCTACTTCATCCTCACCTAACATCTTTCACTAGTGCCCCGCCGGTGCATACCGATAACGCGGGTAGGGCTACTATTGCATTATCAACCATTAAAAAAAAACTCTAGGCACCATATAAGGTTAGAGTTTTAGTCAAGATAAATCAAACGAGCCCAAACAATGACAGATTTCATGAGTTGTCCACTAGTTCCTATCATTGGCACATTTTAGATAATTAATTACAAAATCGGGGGACTGAACCCTTAAAGACACGTTATATACTCTCAGATATGTAGGAGTATCTGCCCATATTTTTTTAAATACTTTGTTTTCTGTCACTATGTTTTTTGCGACAACCTTCTAATCTGTATTGTTACTTTATCTGTGTATAAAACTGAGGATTTTTTCCCCTATATATATATATATATATATATATATATATATATATATATATATATATATATATATATATATATATATATATATATATATATATATATATATATATATATATATATATATATATATATATATATATATATATATATATATATATATAAATTTAAATATATATAAAGTTGTAACTAAGTAAAATAAATGTTGTAAACTGTGTGTATAAGACTTTATATATCCAAATTTAATCGACTATTTTTGCGCCATTTTCCTTCGTCACGACTCTCAGTGAAAATTTTGCAAAGTTAAGAAATATGTCCCTTGTTTGACTGTTGCCCATAATTTAAAGCTGCGCTCGCATACTAGGATGGGAACTAGACAATTCTGGAATATATATGGACCTCAAATATAACCTGAGCATTCGTGGGAGAACACATCTAGCCTTCACCTATCCTTCCATCCTCACAAACTACCGCATCTATAATATGAATAGGATAGAGAGATGTCACCTGGAACCACTCGAGTACGGGCAGTACAGTTTGCGGCGTGGGCGAGGAGGTGACCCTCTGCGCGGCGAACTTGTACAAGTTGCGCTCGTCCACGCCCACCATGCTGCCGTCTGGCTCCAGGATCTTGGCCAGCGGTACCTTCAGCTCCATTAATTCCTGGGCACATCATATTAAGCTTAAGAGAATTCACACATGCGGAAGCGTAGCGACTTTGAAATTATTAAAAACAAACTATTTTCAATATTTCTTATATAGTAACACAACTGGCTGATATGCTCTACTAGAGAACTATATATATATATACATATATATATATATATATATATATATATATATATATATATATATATATATATATATATATATATGCTTATATATAATTTAAACAAAATACGTAAAAGGGTGTTGCTTTGCTGACCTTTTACCTTTTTAAGAATTAGTAGACACATTTTTGCAGAAATTACCTTTTCTGGCACATCAGTGCATATAGCTTCCATCCAAGCGGGCATAATATAGTCCCAAATGGACTGGGTGATTATGCCATACGGTATCAAACAATATAACCTGCAACAAAATTAGGCGTATAAGTTTTTTTTTTTTATAGTTAGGATGGTAAAAGAGCTGATAATGCACCTAATAAGAAACGATGACGATGTAGTATCACAGATGACCTATGAATACTTGCAACACTAATGTAAGGGGTAAGGAAGGGGGTTACTGGTCAATTGTTGGCTCTTAACAACCAGTATTAGTTTTTTTTTAATCCTACACTTAATTATTACTTATATGAGTTAAAAGACAATAAAGACATTTTCCCATAGATTTATATTAGAAGGCACTATAAAGGTCTTCTGTTGTAAAACTATGATGTATATTACGTTAATATTCACAAACGAATGTTTGTTGCCATAAATAAATAAATTAGAAGTTCGCACTGAAAATATTAATCTCTCAATCTATATGAAAACCTCCACTTATGATCACATGAGGTAAGTCCAAGCGCAAATGTAGCCTGTAAAGAAGTTAAATGAGAAGGCATGGGAATCACGAGCACCATTGAGTATAATATGTGGTATTTATTTATTTATAGCAAGGCAACAGATTATAAATTAATATATTTATAAAATAAATATTACATAAAACGGCATTAAATTTGCACTCCAACAACTGCTTTACATAACACTCGATATTATATACATTAAAAGAATGACGGCTATAAATTTAAAGTAACAAATTGGCAGCCTTAATGTAACATTGCAAGGATTGTTGGAAAATGTCAAAGGTCCTTGCATACATTGTTATATTTTCTGCATACGCGGATAATTGGATTGTGATAACGATACATTATTATTACAAATCGGTATCCATGCCTATAGGCGACAAGACGATGCAAGCATGCACGCACGTACGCACGCACGCACGCACGTATACAAGCCCGTTCGCCCTCTATTGATAGCTACTAACCTCCCCATGACTAACAATCCCTTCCCCCCAGTAGTGAGTAGTGAGTAGTGTGTAGTGAGCGAGTAGTGAGAGGGTGTAAGGGCACCTGTTGAGGCCGTCCTTGAGGTGGTGCGCCTTGGAGGCGAGGTTGTCCCAGTGGCCGGCGTGGCGCGTGTGGTGCGGCGGGTGCGGCAGCAGGCACGCCACCAGCACGCCGCGCTGCGACTCGCCGATCGACCGCACCCAGCCGCACACGTGCTCCGACTTCAGCTTCTCCACCGTGTTCGCCGTCTCGCCTTACACCGGTAAACCACCTCACCGTAACACCACTCCTTTACATTATATACGTAAACCATCGAGTCTCAAAAAATGGCTCAACTTTTTTTTTTTACAACAAGCGACAAACGAGCATGCGGCTAAGCGACTGCCGCCGCTCACCAGAGGCGTTGCAAGTGTGCTGTCGGCCTTTCAAAAAAGAATATGCTCTTTTCTTGAAGGTTAATGATGTCGTATCGGTTCGGAAATACTGCTACTGGAAGTTGATTCCAAAATATGGTCAAGTAATAGTAACAAAAAATTGTCAACTAATTGTCAAATTATTTAGTAAATAAAATGAGTTTTAGCGCATTAAAAAGGCGTAGAATTTATAAGACAAAATAAATATAAAAGTTATAAAGGAATCACTCATAACCATTTATCACGCAAAATTGTATGAAAAAATTGATCCGCTCTTCTTAAAGCATGCATTTTTCAATATGAATTGAAATAGTTTTAATTAATAGTTGTATATCTATGATGTTTACTTACAGAATAAAAATATACTACTTATGTAAATATATACATAGAAATAGAATCCGTTTAATAGTTTTTACGTTAAAGAATAACAAACATTCATTCATACTTCTGAACGCATTTATAATATAAACAGGATATTCCTTTGAAAAAAAAAACTTTTTTTTTTTATACAAATATGCATGAGACTCACCTGTATATGAGAAGGAGGTGACGTGGAACCAGTGGAAGAGTACAGAGAGTAGCCTCCCCAGAACCTCATCCGGCGTATCGGGGTTTGGTGTACACAGGCCGACCATCAGCCATACTCCGTACCTACATGTTATAAAAATCATCATCATTCTCATCATCTCAGCCATTATCTGTGCACCACTGAACACAGAACTCCCCGTATAAACTGCCATAAGGAACGGTTCTGAGCCATTTGCTGGATGACTTCGTACAATGCCAGTAGTTGGCATGGAGATGTTGTTAGAGCTGCTACCCATACGTCGACCATAAGTTTCTTTAGTCGCTTCCTACGATGCCCACGGGAAAGGAAGGAGTGGCCTAGTCTATGCCAGGACCACACAGTATATGTTATATGAATGTTAATATAGAAATATGAAAGAGCCAAGACTACACATAGATAATTAGCTGGCAAGAGGAGTTGTTAATATAGCATATATTGCCACGATCGGCCGACTGATGTGACTTCATCCTGGCCTACCTTATCTCACTGGTACCCCATCAGCATAAAACTAATACGCAAGTAGGATTACCATCACATTTCATTTTTAAAATAGACACTTTCACAGCACCTGCACTTGCACAGAATCGATTAGTGTTATGCTAGTTATTAAATTAATGATTAAAGGACATTCAAGTTTGTTGCACGCGTCCGTGTAGCTTTACTTCAGGTTGCAGCTGAAAATCAGTGCTTTGCTTTTAAGCAAAACTATTACTGAGCTTTAGCCTATTTGGGTCACTGCGACACACTTGGTGAAAACATATCTCCAATATTCATCTTTTGTTTTATATTTGAAAAAATGTAAATAATCAGATTGTATAAATTTATTTATTAATTTACGTGTGTCATAAATGGCTCAAATAAAGTGTTTATCTATCTATTTATCTATCTAAGTATTACATAACGCAATTTTTCTTATAAAACGTTACAATGCGTTACAGTGGTGGGAGGGGAGTTCGAACAAGAAGTAATTTTTTTCTTATTTAAATAAAAAATACGAGAATCTCCCAAGCTGGCAACCCTTTTCGTGTATGTTTCACGGGGAATCCCTCGACTGTAATGTACGTTATTTTTATTTTGTTTTCATTGTTAGTATACGTTAGTATTGTGACTTTTAGGTAAAAATGGTCACTTACTATTTATTAGTATTTCATGTTTAGGAAGGAGGAGGGGACACAGAAAAATATCATGATGTGTTACATGAGGAATGGGGGAGGGAGGGTCAAAAATGGCATTATGAAATACTTGAACGTCCCCTTAGTTTAAAATTCCGTATCTTACCTTCCAAGTAGTTGTCGATCTTCGACTGAAATGGGGTCGGGTAAATTCACCGTAAGTGGTGGCTTCAGTTGTTCCGTCGAACTGTCCGGATCCTCCATATTTATTGGTTTGGCTTCTTTCAGCAAACTGTCACAAATAAATAGTATAAAATTTAAGTAGTACGAATGTTGTTTTGTATTTTTAAGCCTAAATAAAGGAAGAAATACAAAAACCAAATTTTTATTATTATATAAATAGTTGTATAACACTTACTGTTACTCATGCTTACCTCATTCCTCCACATAAATTTGTAAAACTTTTTAATTGGGCCTTTAATTCTTTTTACATTCATTCAGATTGAATGTATTTAGTATTAATATAAACCTACGTAGTTTCTGAATGCTAATGTAACATAATTTCTGGAACTTTGTATTTTTATTTATAATACAAAAAAAAGGATATTTTTTTTTTAAATCGATTTAGAACTGATGGATTAATGAGGTATCAAACATAAAAAAATATAAAATTTAATTGAAAACCTCCTTCTTTTAAAGTTGGTTGATAAAATAAAAAAGTGTGCTTATTCTCTTACCTTCCTCAATGTCCAAGTATCTACTCTAATACTAAATGTAAATACGCCATTTGTACAAAATTTTATTGTGCAATAAATAATAAATAAATAAATAAAATAAATCCTAATAAAAATCAACTCAGCAATTAAAACCGAGCAGTTTCTTCCGCCCATTTGATATAACACCAAGGCAAGATTATTTTGTTTATTTGATAGAAAATAGTAACTGTTGTCTATAGACATCAATAAAATCACGGGCATCACAGAATTTTTTTTTATATAACTTAGAATGGCAAACAAGCTGATGACCCACCTGATGGAAAGTGGTAACCGTCGCCTATAGACATGAGCAGTACCATGGACGTAGCAGAGTATACTGTTTCACCCATGATACCCCTCATGCGTTGTCATTCCTGAGGGCTCAGGTGCTATTCCTTCGTACCGAGTAAATTCACGCCATATCCCACCGTTCAAACCGAAACATAGTCAAGCAAACACAACTGCTTTACGGTTGAAACACGAATGGGACAATGGTACCCAAGCAATCGACTTTTGTACAAAGATCTCCCTCTGGGAAATTTATATTAATTGCTGTTTCGCCCATAATACACTGTGACGTCCATGTTATTATTTTGAGAAATAAATTGTTAGATGTTATCCTCATCAGAGATCTGCGTTTCAACATCTAATTCGCAGCACATGCATACCTGATGATGGCCTCGACGAGGTTGGTCTGCATGTCGGAGTCCATCTGCCAGGCGGGAGGCAGCCGCGTGTGTACCACGTGGTCGCCGCCACGCCGCACGTTGTGGCGGTTGCCGTGGCACTGCTGGCAGTACCTGCCACGTGATATACGACAAGATTATTATAAATTTTTCATTTTAAGGATTCCACCACATTCAGCATTGTATTCAACATTACCAGAGGGAGACTTTGTATAAAAGTCGATTGCTTGGGTACCACTGTCCCATTCGTGTTTCAACCGATCTTTAGTCGAAGGAAGGTCGGCAACGCTGTGTGCGTGCAAAAGCGTGCAGCTTTCTTATATGACGCGTCATACTCGGTGAGCGATCCGCGTTAACTGCTCGCGTTGGTAGATTGTTATACCACGGAAGATAGATTGATTATGGTATTGATACCCCCATGCGTTACCATTCCTGAGAACTCAGGTGTTATGCCTCTGTACCCTGTAATTTCACGGCCATATCCCACCCTTCAAACCGTGCACACAATATAAACACAGCCATGCAAACACAACTGCTTTACGGTTGAAACACGAATGGGACAGAGGTATCCAAGCAAACGACTTTTATACAAAATCTTCCATTGGTAATCATTCCATACTTAGTGTTAAATTTACATTATTTGTATATTATAAAATAAAAAAAAACAGACATTCGTGTACCTGATAGGGTGATTTCCGTTATAACTGGCGCATTCATTCGAAAAGCAAATGGAATATGCTGCTTTATCAGTTGAACGACAATTCTGTGAAGAAAATAAATATTGTAATTAATTATTTATTTTATTCTGAATAAATAAAGCTTTTTCTTTACACTTGTATTAATATACTTTAATAATAAAACAATAAAATACAACAACTGTAACAGTATACACTGGTGGGGCACCAGTGAGGGATGATAGGTGAGAATGAAAAAGCAAGTCAATTAGCCCACCGTGATGAATACACCTGGAATTCAGCACGATGGTTTCGAGTGGTGACGATACCCTGACAAGGTATATTGCTAGCAATGAGACTGATAGTCCGGAATTACTAATAATCCGACCTAAAGAAATTAGAATTATAATTAATTAACCAGAGGGAAACTTTGTACAAAAATCAATTGCTTGGATACCTCTGTCCTATTCGTGTTTCAACCGTGAAGCAGTTGTGTTTGCATGGCTATGTTTCGGAAGGGTGGGATATGGCGTGAATTTACAGGGTACAGAGGAATAACACCTGAGTCCTCAGGAATGGCAACGCATGGGAGGTATTATGGGCGATTGTATAAAAAAAAATTACAATATTTTTTAACTTTTACCCACGGCTTCGCTCGCGTTTATATTGATTTTATTCAACAATTCTGGTTGTTAGTATTGGTATTTGTAAAGATAAAATAGTTATAAAAATAAACTCACCCCCTTTACGGAGTAGTTTGTGAGAGAAAACATATTTCAATTATGAATTATACACAATAATTCTGCAAAGTTTGAAGGACATAGCAATGAAAAGTTTCATACAAAAATTATCTATCCCTCTCCACTTTTATAAGTTTTTTGGCAGAAAAATTACCTCTAACCGTCTCTAGAGTCACATCTATTTCTGTACCAATATTTATTATAATCGATTCAGTGATTTAAGCGAGAAAGCGTAATAAACGAACGAACTCTTGCATTTATAATAATTATAGTTAGGATAACGTAGAAAGATATATATGTCACACCTGAGTCCTCAGCAATGGCAACGCATGGGGGGTATCATGGGCGAAACAGTATACTCTGTTATGTCCATGGTACTGCTCATGTCTATAGGCGACGGTTACCGCTTTCCATCAGGTGGACCGTCAGCTTGATTGCCATTCTAAGTTGTATAAAAAAAAATAGTATAACATAAACTTCAATAAAGTTGAGTCTTAATACCAAAGATAAAAATTCAAGGTTGAACATCTCTCACCTTGTTCTCACACACCATAGACACTTGCTGTTGCGGGTGTAGAATGTCGAAGAAACGTTGATTTGGATGCTCTCTGTAATTGTAAAAAAAATTTACACACCCATGTAACGATATTTTTTTTTTACCACTGAGGCGGCAAACAAGCATACAGTCAACCTGATGGTAAGCGGTTACCGTAGCCTATGAACGCCTGCAATACCAGAGGTATAACGCGCGCGTTGCCAACCCTGAAGAAACCTTTTTAGCCCCCGTTTTAAAGAACCCCATGCTGTAGTGTCTGGAGAAAGCCTTGACAGGGAGCTCATTCCATAATCGTTTGTATTTCTAAATATTGCTAAACAAATGTATTTAATTTTAAGATCTGCTACTGGCAATTAGCAATCACCAATATTTGGTAAATAAAATTCAATCATTAAAAAAAATAGTATAGACTTACATATACATCTTTTTTTAATATTTGTATATACTAGCGGCCCGTCCCGGCTTTGCACGGGTGGACATTTTTACAACATTTTTAAAATCGGCAAAGTAGTTTTTGAGTTTAATTATTACAAACATACATACACACAAAAATACAAATCTTTCCTCTTTATAATATTAGTATAGATTATGAGCTGATTATAGAATGGTAACCCCGCATGCGCTATCGGTATACAATAGCGGGGCACCAGTGAGAGATGATAGGTGAAGACGAAACAGGTCAATTGGCCCATAGTGATGAATTTATGAAGAATTAATAAAGATGGTTTCCGTGGGCACGGTATTATATTATCGGGGCCGGGGGTAACCGAATAGAGGTCAACCTGATAGATTTCCAATAATAACAATCCCTTTCCCCCCAGATTTACTCATTATGTACAGTTGACAATGAATACGTCGTTGATTCCTGAAAAGACGCCAATGTAGTTCTTAATTTTGAAAACTTTTAAAAAGTTTTACTCGCAACTTCGCCTGCAAGACTACTTTCAAATACTAAGTGTATATGAAAGCTTACAACGATTGGTTAAATCATCCAGACACCGAAAGGTGACAAAAACACATGAACAAGATGTTAGATACAATATTAAGAAATACTACGGTTGGTGTAGTAATAGTCCTAATATATATTTAATAGTTTCCATTTTACTTTAAAATAGATATATTATCATAAGTTTTACAGTGTAACAATAAGACAGTCTTGTAGTAGTCAAGTGTAGTGTCACACAGAGGACGTCTCAACCGAGCGATTCATATCCAATTTGCAGGGTAGTATGGTGACCGTTCCGTTGTAATAATTTACACGGCCTACCAACTACGTTTATACTAGTGCGCCATTGTCTAAGCATGTATCAGTGTTAACACAAGATCATATTATAATATAGTGATTGGAGGTACTTGAGTGTATCAGGAAATATGAGTCGCTTCTCAAGCGATTGTTTCCTTGAAAATTCAAAGAGGTCGTGGCGGATCTCATATGGATAGAGAGACAATCTCGAATGATTTCATAAGGGCTGCTACATCATAGACAGTGACCATGGGGTGTTATTCATAGATTGGATGATAATGGAATGACAACCCGCTCGCGCTATCGGTATACGCTGGCGCACCAATAAAGGATCATATCGTTGAGGATGGAAGCTGAGCAGGGGTTTTTTAATGGACGATAATGGAATGGTAACCCCGCCTGCTCTAATGGTAATCGCTGGTGAGGTACCAATAAGGGATGATAGGTGAGATTAGAAAGGCAGATCAGCCCATCGTAATGAATACTGGAATTTAGTACAATGGTTTACAAGGAGGACCACGTGGAGGTCGACCCGACAAAGTCAATTGCTAGTAATGGGACTGGTAGTCCGCATTACTAACAATCCCTTTTCCCCCCTACTGAGCAGGAGTAGGCTTATGTCCAGCAGTAAGGTACAAGGCTATGAAGGAATGGGGTACCTGTGTATTTCGTTGGCGCACTCGATGCAGAGGTAGAGCGGCGGCGGCGTGTCGGAAGCGAAAGTGACGCTGATGCAGTGGTCGTAGCACACCTTGGCCGCCTCCGCCGTGCCCGCGTTCGGGCACATGTCGCGCTGGCAGAGGAACGGCACCAGATCGTCTGCGGAACGTATACATACACTTATTTTATACAACTTAGAATGGCAAAACAAGCTGACGGCCCCCCTGATACAGGGTTTACACCACGCCTCGATGTAGAGGGGCAGAGCGGGAAAGTAAATTCCTTTTTAAAAGGCCGGCAGCATACCTGCAATGCCGTTGGTGTTGTGGGTGACCATGGGCGGCGGTAGTCACTTACCATCAGGTGAGCCGTTTGCCCTCAGTGATGTAAAAAAACAAAATTATGTGCTGAGTCATTCGTTATAAAGGACAACAAATATTGACTTTCGTTTAAAATCAATAAATACATCGAGACCTAACTTCTATCGAACGTACATCATGTGTTCTAAGCTCATAAGATGAAATAGCATTAGTAATATATTTTAAAAAATCCAGTTAATTACAGTCCCGAACATATAACAATATTTTTGCAATCTGTATTTAAAAAATTCAGCAAAATCAGTTAGAGGAACTGTTTTTAAATAAACAGAGGGAGACTTTGTACAAATGTCGATTGCTTGGGTACCTCTGTCCCATTCGGGTTTCAACCGCAAAGCAGTTGTTTGCATGGCTGTGTTTCGGTTTGAAGGGTGGGATATGGCGTGAATTTACTGGGTACGGAGAAATAACACCTGAGTCCTCAGGAATGGCAACGCATGGGGGGTATCATGGGCGAAACAGTATACTCTGTTATGTCCATGGTACTGCTCATGTCTATAGGCGTCATACATCTACGTCATATATCTATTAAAAAAAAAAAAAACTTAGAATACCTAATCTAAACAAGCTATGTGTGTTACATTGCAGTATATATTTTTTTTTTTGGGAGTTGAGTGTAATTAGGGCATCCCATTAGATGAGCACGGTTACGCTATCCGTTTACGCTCGTACTCACCAGGGTGGGATTGAATTTGGGAGAGGGATGATTGGGGAGTTGGGAATGTGTGTGTTAGATGTTATGTGTTGGTAGAGGTAAATGCGTTAAGGTTTCCCTATTGGTGAGTTCGATTACACTATCGGTTTACGCTCGTACTCACCAGGGTGGGATTGAATTTGAGACACAAATAGATGGAGATTTGAGTATGTTTATGTACATACACATGTGTTTGGTATTGTACGAATTCGGTAATGTACCGAATTCATCAACAGGACATCCTACATGTTGATGAATTCTGTTACACTATCGGTTTACGCTCATGCTCATCAGGGTGGAATAAAATTTCGAAGTTGGATTGGTGTGTATTTTAAAAATATATGTGTTGTGATGAGTGTTGTGTAGTGATTTGCATGTTTTTAATTTTATGTTGTGTTTCTCTGTAGTCGTGTTTATGGATGGTTTATGTATTGGGATACTGTTGTGAAATTTGAGATACTGTGTATGGTGTGTAGTTCTAATACATTGTCAGATTCGTAAGCTGGGTAGGTAAGCAGCAAGTTACTTCAACAAGTAGGTTCAACAATTAAAGTGTGTAAAAAAAAATGTAAAAACATTTTTTTTAAGCAAGAACAGAATGAGAGACTGACTGGAGAACTTGCAGAGTAGCCCCTTCCGGTCGAAGAGCTTGGCGTCGAAGGGCGGCCAGTAGTAGAAAAGCAGCTTGGCAGCGGACAGGCGCGCGCCCCACGTGCCGTACGCGATCACGCATAGCACGTCCTTCACCACCGACTGCTTCATCCACATGAGGCACTCCAGCAGCTGGCAGTGGTGAGCTGCAGTCATGTGCAAGTGGCAAGTCAGATAGTCATTGGAGTTTACTATACATAAGCCTTCCCCATTTTTTCATGTTTGTTACCTCAAAACTCTGTCATTTATAAAGCTATTTGTAAAATGCATTTTTATCTTTAAAAATATACTTTCAGATTGATCTTATAGAAATTTGATCAAAATTGGTTTAGTACTAAGGTTTTAAAATCAAAATAAATTATTTTGTTATATCATACCATCTAACAATATACATATTATACATAAAGTGTCATAATATATATCTCGGAGTTATTTATAATGCCTCTCACTCACCGGGATTACTTGAGTGTTGGAAAACCATCATTATAATGGCGGCCACAGATTGAGAAGCTTGACTCTCTTCCTCCTGTCCAGAGTACTTTCGTGCTGTGAATATTTAAATTAATACTTCAATAATTGTTGCTATATATCCGGCGCGAAGGATCAAATAGAAGTAGGTATATGAAGAAAAAGTGTAGGTAGTAAGCGCGTTTTTCTTGATAAATTGTATCTCGTTTAAATAAACATATGTTCTGTGGCAAATCCACCTGTGCTGACTTAACTCAGAATAACTTATTTATATAATAAGGTAATTGATATAACTGTATACTTACTGATAGTGAAGGGCAGTATATAATAGCAGAGCAAATGCAGTATTTCTTGGTGCAGTGCAACGGGAAACACTGCTACGCAGTACGCCACCAGGTACGGCAGATTGTCGATCATGTCATACTCCAGAAACGGCAGCAAACAGCCGAGACACTGGAGGACCGCTTGCCCGAATGCTGTAACAATGTAAATCCTTACTAATATTATAAATGGGAAAACGAGTATAAATATAGGAACAATTGCTTATTTCTTATCTCTTAGCGCCTTAACAGCTTAACCAATCACTATAAAATGTGGTTTGGAATATGGATTGAAGAAGAACAGAGACTATTTTTATTCCAGTCAAAGGACATATCCCAGTTATGCGGACGATATCGCAGTTAAAAGCTAGTTAATAATAAATAAATAGTACAAGATATATGACGTGTAGAGCCATCTAGTTCCAAACTATCAGTTAAGTTACAGTGAAGGTGTCATGAATGGTATATTTTTTATACCACTTAGGTGGCAAACAAACATATGGCCCACCTGATGGTAAGCGGTAGCCTATGAACGCCTGCAATACCAGAGGTATTACCCTGACGAAACCTCTTTACCCCCCTTTTGAAGAACCCCATGCTGTCGTCTCTTAGGAAAACCTCGGCAGAGAGCTCATTCCATAACCTGAGCGTTCGTGGGAGAAAACATCTCTGAAACCGCGTTGTACGCGACCATTTAGGCTGTAGGGTATGAGGGTGAACTCCCTGTCGATGGCGAGCCAAATATAAATACAAATTCATACAGCCAAATGATATATAGAAATACATCACTCCTGTTCCCAATTGGCGTCCAACGGGGCACAATTAAATGTCAAATACTACAATTTAAACAAACATCGAATGAAAGAAGATAATAGTTATCCTAAAAGTAAATTTTAAACTTTTGTATTGTTTACGCATATTTAAATACACTATCGGGACTTATTTATTTAACTCACCCTGTATTCCATACTGAAGGTGTGGCGCAGCGTCGACCAACTGTGATATGGCATTAAACAGGCCCTTATAGTCCAAATTCGGGTATAGGATCATTCTATCCGCATCATTGTCTGCATCACGCAGCATCTCCAGCGGTGATCGTGGCACATCTTTTAGCACACCTAATGACAGAAAAAATATTTCTTACAACCTATATTTTGGGGCTTCGCCTGGATAAATCATTATATAAAGTATCCAATGATTTAAATCAGGATAAAACCTATTCGTGATCCAAATTTCATTCAAATCCGTTAAGTAATGTTGCTTGAAATAACAACAAACTCCCATCTTAAATTTTCGCATTTAATCAACAGTAGGTTAATTAAAATTAAAAGAATAGTTTCAAATGCTCTAATTTTTTAATAATTTTATGAGTAATTAAAATTAAAAGTAATCAGAATTAAAAGAAATTAAATTTAGTTTAAACTTTAATTATTTTATAATTTATAACGTGAATTTGTCAGCTCTTGATGCCCCAATAGTTTAACCGATCGTCGAGAAACATGACATTTTTTTAACATAAGCTACTAGTACACTGTAAAATAAATTGAAAGTATATTATATCATATGCAATTTGAAATGGCCATACTTACTAAGGAGAGTCTGTGAGAAGTATTTGACAGTATTCGCAATATCAACGCCAGAGGGCAGTGGTTGTATATTGTGCATCAACCGCAGCTGACAGTCATACAGGCTGCGGATCTTCGCCGTGACTATCGATGAAACGTATAATAGTATTAATTACTTACTAAAAGAATATAATGTTTAAAAATAGTATATTAAATATATTTAAGTCAAAACATACCTTCCTTAGCTTCATGTATAAATTAGAAATTTAAAAAAATACTCGCAAATCTAAAACCGTTGAGACTCGTGGATTCCTTATGTAATTATAACAATTGGATTTATAAGTGTTCAAGCGAAAATAAGTCCAAGGAATTCCGCACTCTACCTAGAGACTAAGGATGATTTCCACCAAACGGCTCGCATCGGATTGGATCGGAACGAATTTTACAAATTTTCGTAGCCGAAAGTATGCTGTGATGCACAATCGGCTTCGTTTACTTGTCGTCGTTTCCGATCGGATTCTTTCAGCTGTCGCTGCGTGCGCTCACAGCCGTGGCCGGGCGGTATCAGTAATTTTCTTTTGCTCTTCTGTGTTTTATGATTATTTCTTCTAATGTCAACAATATTACGTCAACTTCAACTATCTTTCAAAATTAGAACACATTAACACGATAAGAATGAAACTATTTCACTAGGCGCGAAAACAGATACGTTCAGCAAACGATGGTGAGGAGCCGATCGCATGCGTCGACATCTTGCCGGATGCGATCGGCTGTCGCCGCATCCGTTCGTATCTTTCCGATCCGATGCAATGCGAACCCTTTGGTTTAAAAGAATAAAATATAGTCGTGTAACCCGTCAATTTTATACGAAGTACACCTATGAAGTGACATACAAGCGAACAACCGTGTAACGCATACTCTTTCCTTCGCTGCCAATCTATCCATACGCGGCTAATAGTCATACATTAATCCCATTTACTTGCTCACACGGAGCAAGGTATGACGAGTGCCACCAAACGTACAATATAAATCCAATATCTATATAGATACATAACGAGAATTTAACAAAATTACCGTGTTTGTCGTTTCTGGCAATTGTTTCTACTTCATCCGGAAGTCTTCTTTTATTTACACACTTACACACTACAGGCAATTTTAATTTTATATACATATCAAGTTATTTACAATATTCAATACTAATAATTAATTAATAAAAAATTCTTCAGAGGGCGTACAACGCTTCGGGTCATTGTATAAAGTAACAATAAGTTCGTTAAATTCCCGTTACGCACGAATACACACAACGTTTAAAAAAAAATAACTGGATTTATCCAGTTAAAATTACACCAGTTATTTAATAACAGGATTTTGAAGCTATATTATAAGTTTTTTATTTGACATATTGTCAGCAAATTATTTATATAAAATTAAATAAACTATATCAGTCTATGCTTGGTAAGTTGCTATTCTGATTTATTTATAAATCATAAATTATATAATATCAATATAGAATATAGATGTCTATATTTATAGACAATAAAATTAAGTTTTCGACAGTTCGTAAATATGTTAGAAAAAAAAAATATAACTAGTATATTATCCTATCTGAAACAGTTATTTTAAATATGATAGAAAGAAGTCTATCAAAAAACTTAGCTAATTAAATTAACATTTCTATGCGAGAATTACCATTTTACATAATAAGTATTCATGTTGATTAAACTTATACTGTAAAAGAGATTATATAACATATAAATATATACAGACAGTCATAATAAAATCATATCATAAAGGTACACTTTTTGGATACAAATATTTAAAAATTATATGACATGATTGTGTTACATAAACACATATGAATGTAATGAAACATGGTACATGGTGAATTAGAGGCAGTCACAGGACATGCTTATAACCATTTATAACTAAGAAAACAGGGTGTAGCAGATAGAGGATAATTTAAAACCAAGTATTCAAGAAATTGAACAACTTTCTCCCAGTAACATGGCCAGTTAGCCAACTTGGACTACATATATGTCATTTACGCAATTTATAATTCACAGAATTATAATTTTATATCAAATAAAATTATAGCATGAGGTTCAAAAAAGGTGTCTCAAGGTTACTGAAGGGTTGGCAATGCACATGTGACATTCCTAGTGTTACAGGTGTTCATAAGCTATGGTAACCCCATATACCATCTGACATGCCTTATGTTTGTTTGGCACAAATGTAGTATAAAACAAAATAAAAAACAAGAAGATACTACAAATATTATTTTAACTAATTGAAAATGGCTGCAGTTAAATTTTTCGCCACTGCTTGTTAAAAAATGAAAAACAAAACATTTAAAAAATTACATTCCTATATTCAAACAATTATATTCTTTCAAGATAGTTGTTCAGTTTCTGAAATTCTATTGTTTGGTATTATACTGGTAAATATTTTCCATTACACCCTATGTGCAAAGTCCCTAGAAGAGAAGGGTACAAGTACTAGATAAGCCTAACCTGAAAGAAAGGTGAGCCACAAACAATCAACACTGACTGAGGAATCAAACATGAAGAATGTTGCTAACAACATGAAATGGATGGGTGGGTAAACATTACATCAACAGTATCGTGCATCTTGTCTTAGAGGACAGAACCAGGGTTGTTGCCTTTTTACAAAATAATTTACAGCAATCACTTTGAACTTTAATACCTTGAAATATGTTTCTTTATCACTTGACAATATAGGGATTAACATGTAATAAAGAACATAATTACAAAGTGTTAAAGATTACTTTTCCATGGTACTTAACAGTGATGCTCTGTGCACTACAATGAAAATACTCTATAGGAAAATAGACCTAAACAGATAAGGAACAGATGCAGTGTGAGGGGCCTTTAACAATTAAGGAATAGTGTTGCCATTAATAAGTTATAGTTTTAATTTTAAAAACACATTAAGAGTGTGAAGACAGAAATAATAGTAATGACACTGTCTATTTATTTAATAATTATTCATTTTAATTATGCAATAGTCACAAGTGTAACAAACAAACATTGTTAATTACTATCCCTTAAGAGATTACTGTCATAAACATATGAATTTTCTATTTGTATAAATAGAAAATACACCACATAATTGACACTGTTATGTATTATGCTTTAATTAACAGAATATTTTTTAGCCACTAAGGTCATTTTATAAATATTTATATTTAACCCATATTTTTTTTTTAAATATATGCAGTATGGAAATGGCAACCCTATAAAACGACAGACGGGGCAAAGCATTGAACGTGCGGCCAGGGTTCCGCAAACACTCAAACCAAATGGTGCAAGACAGATCACCCCCAACAAGCTCACCTTTCTGATTCAGCGGCTCCAATACAAACTGCATTTCGCACGCCTGTGCCTGCATTGGGACACACAAAAAGTGACTACGCAATGGGCCCTCACCCGTTTCAGATACCTCTGAAAAACAAATGTGTTATTATCATAAGCGTAACTAGGTATTTAAAATCAAAGGACAAATCACATAATGCCATAATTTTGTGTCAGTTATTTGATTTTAATCTGGTTATATTATAAAATATCTTTGGTAAGTACCAAAGTTGGACTACCTGGTTACGCCCATGGGTAATGTGCATGCAAGCATCAGCGATATTTCGTGGAAACGTAGAAACGCGCATTTTATTAGAGTATTAAGATCGCAACTTTTATCTATGGCAATGGAAAAAATAATTATAGGCAGAATTTTCATGGCAGACACTCATATAATTATTTATTAATGAACTACGAGTATTTTAAATACACTTGTTCTATTTTCCTAAAGATATTTAACAACCAGTTCTTAAAATAGATCGTTATAATCACCGCGGTTAATGATTGCACAAGATGTTCGAATTTCAAATGCGATATCCTTCGCGCGCCAGATTCACATAATAACTGGTAAACAAGCTCGCAACCACGTTTCCTCAATTAATAATCTCAGTGCTAAAGCAGAGAAGTTATTGAGGATATGCTTACAGGCCGCGGCCCGTGTTCCCATGTTTATGAGCTGAATCTTGAAACTGCCCTGCATTGAAGCGCCGGTCTACACTCGCGGTTAACATCAACGGCACGGTACGTAGTTCAATCAATAACAGCAGTTCAGGTTTTAAAACACGAATAACCGACCGGGCGAAAGAGATAAGACCTGAATCTAGATTTTCCTTTCTCTTCAAGCTATTGATCGATTCCCCGATCCCCGGGGAACCGGTGACAAGGATTGTTTTGGTTTGCCGCGCGCAGGACAATCAGTCAGCTGTGCGCTGCGCTGTGTACCTATAATGAAATGTCAATGTCAGCGTCAATTTGTATCTGTCACTTAAAGTACTTCCGTATGTTTTTTATCGTATCCTATGAGATCTTGTGCCTATCCAAATACATTACTTACATTACTATGTTGCGTAATATATCTTAATATTAAAAAATAAAATATTTAATTAATTTTATTCATTCATATAACTAAACTAAGAGCTGCTTTAAATATGTATATAAATTGAACGTGTGTTATGATAGCTAATAGTTTCCGGCTTCTTTTCTAATCGTAATTTCAAAATACACATAAAGCCAAAATATAAATGTTAATTGGACCTTTGGAATTCTCTACGTAGATAATGTATTTATTAGGACGTGACGTACTGTTTACAATATCTTAATAGAAACCAAGGTTTCGTATTCCTTCTACATTTTAGCTACATATAATTTCACTCAGCCGTCGTGCTTTACCATAATTTGATTAATAAAAACCATGAAAAATCAGTCAGGTTCAGGTTTCTTAATCTCAATCAAACTAGTGGATACTTAATAACATATATATTATTTTGTTTTAATTTATTACATATATATATATTGTTTTAATTTAATGATACATATTGTCTCTATGCTCGCGCAGATTGGTGTCACATATCGTGCTAAAATAAAAAATATGTATATCAAGAAATATAAATTAACATTCATGAATACAAATTTTTGTATCGTACAGGAATAATTATCGTATGGCAGGGCAGTATGCCCGCCATCTGGTCCCGGCATAGAATGGGCCACACCCTTCTGTCCCGTGTCTGTCGTAAGAGGTGACTGAGGAAATTTAACACTCGAAGGATGGGCAACATCACCAAAACCTAACTGCGGTTACCTTCCCGCCTCTCATGCGTGGTAACTACTGGTAAAAATCCAGTAGGGGAGGCCTATGTTCAGCAGTGGACAGTTAATGGCTGATAAGATATTGTAAGACAGTGTGCATCACCGCTACACCATCAAGATTGTTATTTATTTATTCGACTCGAAAAACAAGAAACTCTAAGAGACAGCTCCACCTGTATACTTATACTGGATATATTACTATAATTGTTGAAATAAGTCTTGGATGAAATTCTCCAACATCCTCAAGAATAGTTAAGCAAGGGGATTACCAGGGGGATCATACTTAGATACGGCGACGGTTACCACTTTCCATTAAATGGGAGTCATCTCGTTTGGCATTCTAAATATTATAAAAAATATTTCATATCATATTACTCCATGTTCTCATAGATAGAGTCTACTTATGTGATTATGGAGCAGGTGATAATAAAACATCCTTAATGTCATGTCATTTAATCAGATCACAATAGAAGGAAACATTACATAAATACAATTAGTATTTAGAACGTCCTGCGTCACTAAACAATAGTTACAGAATAATGTTCCTTTAATATAATATTTTATATAAACTTAATTCCTTAGATATCTATACAAATGTAAAGCAAAAAATATCACCGCTCAGAATTTTAAGTCCGCACCGTCCACAATAGGTTTTAAACGAGTACAAATGTTCGACAATGCATGCTCGCTATAGTTTATTGACTTGTGTACCGTTGGCATTGAAACTAAATGATTCCGTCGACCATTATATCATCAACGGTTGTCCATCGCGCCGGCCAGTGCTTGTTGTATCACGAGCTGCTGTGCACTTATTAACTTCTTTAATTCCCTCACTTCCTGAGTCAGTTGGCGCACATTTTCCGACGTCTCGTCCAACCTTGCCTGGAGACTTCCTAAAGTCGATGAGTATCCGTATTCTCGGTAACCCGAATCGTTATGGTGTTCGTATTTCTTGAAACAGGAATACGCGCCTGTTGTCGACCCACTAGATGAAATTGTGTGCCCATACTGCTTTCTCATTTTCGCTATATCGTATGCTGCCATCATTATGTCCCTAGGCAATCGCTTCTCACTCGGATTCAACGGCTTGACGCTGAGTACCACTCTATACGCTTGTGGGGAGACAAGCGCTGACGAATGTAATATTTTTAGCAAGCATTTCGGTAGGTATCCATTGAAGAGAGCCAACTCCATATATGATATTAGTTTCGTCTGACGAACTAGTTTAGAAAGGCCTGCGGTTTTCCTCAAACCTTGAATATCATGAACTGCTATGCCGACGAGCAAATTCATGAGTACGACCGTAACAAACATAAGAAACAGTACGTAAGTTATTTGAGCGGAGAATTCTAAAAGTACAGGCGGATCGTTGCCATCCGGCTCGTTCAATAGTAAATCCAAGTTCAATTCCCCAATCATCATTGTCAGAACTGTTATAAAACCCATAAACGGATTAGCGAATGATGACGAATCAGGAAATATGACGCAGAAGCTTATTGTGAAACCGATCAGGATGCAGGAGTATGCCATTAGTAGTTTTGCGAATTCTTTCTGTACCTTTTGGTACATGGCTACATAAGTTCCGAAAACTGGTAGTTGACCGATCATCATCATTAAATTAGTCCATCCGGCGAGTACGGCAAATGCACCGACATGATTTTGCCATGTATACGTAATATTTGTGTATATGTAAGATATTAGGAAAACGCTCACAATCACAAACCATTCGATTATATTCTCAGATTGAGTTAAATATTGTTTCACTGTAGAATAACCGGCTATACCGTATACTTTTCGAAATATCTCAAAAATTGTAATTCCAGCCAACACCCACCACTGCATTTCTATGACAAAAGGATTTTTTCTCAATAAATCTCCAAGTATTGACTGTTTTTGGCATAATTCTTGTTCTTGTATAGTTTCCTCCATGTCTTTACTGCCATTATAACAGTTATGCGCAAGAGCGGTTAGTACGTATAATGTGAGACAAAGAACAAAAATGAAACTTAAAAATAGTCTGGCAACATAATATTTACGTATTTTCTCCCACTTTATATATAAAAAAGCTGAACATAGAGGATGAAGGAGAAATTCTTTTTGCCCTTCGTCGACGAATGTGTTCAGATAGCTTATTTCTCGTGGATAGCAATGTTGAAGGATGCTTCTAAAATCTAACTCAAGTTCCACTTCTCTGTTGCTTGTTTGAGAATGATGCAGAGTAATAGCGCAATCCAATTTTCTTGTTATCATTGCAAGAGACGCGGGCGTTTTTCGTGCAATTACGTTAAGAGCCGAATTTCCTTTTTTAGATCTCGTCGTTACATCAGCGCCGTGATAAATTAATGTCTCTACACAGGCAGACAGCCCATCAAGAGCGGCCAAGTGCAATGGCGTAAAGCCGTATTCGTCCTTTTGATTTACATTTGCTCCCCAACTTATCAAGGTTTCGATTATATCGCAAGCACTGTCCGATTTTCCAATAGCAGCATGAAGGGGAGTTCTCATATCAAAATCCTTGGCGTTAGGTTCCGCGTGCCCTTTTCGAAGTAAAGCTTCCACGCATTCCAAGCTTGATGAACGAGCAGCTAAATGTAAAGCTGTGAATCCTCTATGATTTTTTAAAGTTGCGTCGGCGCCTTTTGCTAACAATAAATCGACACATTCAATAAAACCTCCATCGGCAGCCAGGTGTAATGCGGTTGATTCACGATCTCCCACCCTCGTTCTCACATTCGGGTCAGCTCCAGGTGTGTCTAAAAGTATCGTCAAACATTGTATCATACCCAAATCAGCAGCTAAATGAATAGCATTGGTACCACCCGGTTCAATCAAATTTACATCGACACCGTGAGATATAAACAGCTTTAAACATTCCACTGAGTTAGCTCTGACAGAGCAATGAAGCAAACCACCTTCACAGTTGACATATTTCACTGCCGCATGAACTGAAGCGCCATTGCTGATAAGTAAATTAGCTACTTGCACTGAGTTGCCGAAGGCGGCGCAATGGAGAGGCACGAAGCATCTGGGCATGTAATTGGGGTCAACTCCTCGAGATAATAGATAATTTGCACATTCCGTTGATCCACTGAATGCTGCGACGTGTAACGGCGACAGTCCAAGCGTGTCATAGTATAACGGGTCTGCGCCGGCGTCCAACAAAGGAGGCAAGAGGTTATGAAGCTTGAGAAACGCCGTCCAAAATAAGCAAACATTCCTCTCCGCTTCCGAAGCTGATGAAAAAGTGTCCGCTGCCGTCTCAGCCGTTATAACGCCGTTTTCCAATTCGTCTAATAGTCGCAATCTTCCACCGACTGCTCTCATTTGTTCGTGTGCGCTTTGACGTAGCGAGTCGCCGCATATGTGCGCAGTTAGATCCAGGGGTGGTTCCTCGAAGCTGTCGTACATATTGGGGGCACTCTCGGCGGGTGGCGGAGAGCCAGCGAGGACGTATTCAAGGTGACCCATGGAGGGGTACGCGCGTTCGAGAGACTCCTCATCGAGGGGCGGATTGGTCTGATGCTGGGCGCGTGCCGGTGAGCTGAGGACCCTGGCGACACGGGGCCGGCGGTCCATGTCGCGGCGCGGTAAGGTTCTTGGTCGGACGTCATCGAGCTCTTCGGGGTTTGGGGAGCGGCGCGTACGGAACCACCGCAAGGTGCGGATGCGGCGCGTGGTGGGCATGCGGACGGCGACGCGACACTGAACGCCGGCGCAGCTATTGTAGGACAATTGTGACCGCGCTCGAGATGAATCTGACGCACTTTTCAGCTATAAGGGTCTAGTCATACTAACAGCTATTTAATTATATTTTGTTTACTATTACTTCGATTTTTGACTTCACTTACAAAGGCAAACAAGTTTTGTTATGTTCTCTTATAACTATCAGCTAAATAACCTATTTAAAATTTAATTACAACATAAATGTAATAATTACAATTCACAACATCTTGGGAACATTAAGACAATACACATGATGTACCACTTGTTGTTGATAACATGTTATTTACAAACATTTACCTCGATGATATCATTGTCATTTAATAGTGAACTTGAAATCATTTTCGAGGTGAGTTGAACAGACCTCTAGGACTGAATAATTTAAGGTTAATTTGGTTGTAAACCCTGACAAAAACTTGATTTTATACAATGAAGTAAGTAAGTATCTACGTAATATCAAGTAATTGATTTGAGATAAAAGAATAGAAAAACAGATACAATTAGCAAGGAATTATCATAATTGCGTAACTTAACCTAGGTACTTTTTCAGATACACAAAGACTTTATAAATGCCTTATAAATGTTTATGAAGAGATTTTTTTTAATTAATGGAAATGGAATAATCCTAACTTGAGCTATGGGTATAAATCAGTAAGTAATAATTTACCAGCGGGCTACTTTGGACAAAAGTCGTTTGCTTGGGCAACTCTGTCCCTTTCTTGTTTCTACCATGTAGCAGTTGTGTTTGCATGCCTGTGTTTCGGTTTGAAGGATGGGATATGACAGTGAATTTACAGGATACAGAGAAATAACACCTGAGACTTCAAGAATGACAATGCATGGGGGGGGGGGGTATCATGGGCGAAACAGTATACTCTGTTATGGTACTTGGTACTGCTCATGTCTATAGGTGATGGTTACCACTTTCCATCAGGTGGGCCGTCAGCTTGATTGGCATTCTAAACTGCGTAAAAAAAGTAATAATAATAACTTCCTACTTATTATACTGTTATATGTTACTACTTAATAATAGTAAGTTGTCTGCATACCAATACCTAATAGGGCCCAACAGTCCCACTGTAGAGGGGAAAGGGATTGTAAGTAACAGGGTTTAACAGCTCTATTACTAGCAATATGCCCTATCAGGTTGACCTCTACACGGTTCCCCCTGGAAACCATCGTGGTTAATTCTTTTGGAATTCGTTACCTTGAGCTAACCTGCTTTTATCTCACCTATCATCCCACACTGGTGCTCTGCCATCGTATACCGATAGCGCAGGCGGGGTTACCTTTCCATTATCATCCACAAAAAGCCCCATTGACCTACAAGAAAATCTCACTCGATTTTCCCTGAAAATGCTTCCTGGTGTAATAAAAAATTCCTATCCTGGTGTAAAAAAAAAATATATTCCCAGTGAAATAAGGCAATGCGCCGACAGATCAAACACGTCCAGTGCGACTAAGTCTTAGTATCTATAAGTTTGTTTATACCCATGTAGACTGTGTACAGCTATTTTTCTTGACAATGTGTCAGAGTGTGTAAGAAATACACATCATTGGAGAATAAAAACAGGTAACTTTATATGAGTCACGCATGTATATCATAACAGTGACAACTTAGCAAAAAAATTAATGAATATCACTCTAATTCAGTGTGTAATTTTATACTAATTTATTATATTTTTTTGCGAGAATGTAGATTAGTGTTTTATATGATTTAATGTTTATTATCTATGTATATATATATATATATATATATATATATATATATATATATATATATATATATATATATATATATATATATATTTTATGGGTGAAAATGGTATGGTAACCCCGCCTGCGCTAACGGGATACGCTGGCGGAGCACCAATGAACGGTGATAGATGAGAATGAAAACAGGTCAGTTAGCCCATCATGATGAATTCATCAGGAATTAACCATGATAGTTTCCAGGGAGAACCGCGAGGAGGTCGACCTGGTTAGGTATATTGCTAGCAATGGGACTCTCAGTCTCCATTACTAACAATCCCTTTCCCCCCTATCTATGTGTATTATATATAGTGCTGTGTAGTCGCGACATAAAATATGCCACTTCTTTCTTTCCCGTAGGTGTCGTAAGAGGCGACAGTTATAGGCTGTTATGATGATGATGATTATATATATATATATATATATATATATATATATATATATATATATATATATATATATATATATATAGGAGTTTTTATCCATGTTAATTTGCAATGAACTTAACCGTTTTTGGCATTTGCTCAGCTGGCGCCCCCTACATTATTGTGGGCTCTGAAAAATATCGCCTTCTAATCTTCAACAGTCAGGTAAAAAGGCTTCTAGATGATTCTAGTGTGATCGCTGAATGAACATGACTAATATATCTCCAATCATTCATGACGATGCATAATAGTGAACATCATTTTTATACAGTAAGCCGTCCTGAACAATAGCACAATAAGTCGGTACAGTGATTTCCGCACCATCATTCGACGACGACGAATCAATTTGAGGATACAAGGGCAATCCCATGGTGTACAATTTGATACAAAGTCCATGGCACTGAATCGTACTGGGAACTGGAATAATGGTATTGAAGTAAGTGAGCTAGATTTACTGAACATACAACATGCCTAGCTTTTGTTAGCTGTTTTATACGCATTGCATTTTAATTTTCTTGGTAGGATATCATTACTGTAGTTTTCTGTATAGATACTTTATCTATATTTTTATTATTATTATGTAATAAGTTTATAAATTTTATAAAGTTTAACTGATAGAAGTTTTGCAAGATTTGTCCAAAACAAGAAAAAAAAAAATAGAAAAATAAAAACAAAAAAATTACAGTTGAGCAAAATTAGAAAGTTAAATTTCAAATAAAATAAAATGAGTTTATTTGCAATAAACAGTCTTAAAATTAATACAAGTGCCATTTTGGCACCTGTTTAATTGCCTTAAACGATGAAAGTATGCAAATATTTACATTTTACAAAAAAAAAATAAAAATTATTTACCTAATTATAAGAATATATTTAGAGAAATAAATACAAATAGAGGAGAGAAAATCTTTGGCGCCCATCAAACCATAAAATGTAAACAAAAGTAAATTATTTTTGTTTACTTTTTAATATAAATTAAAAAGTAGATATTTTTTTAGGATGTCGAAAGAGGCGGATATAAGTATAAACCATAGTACAGTACTGTAAGAGAAATATTAAATAATATTTCAGTATTCTTTTATGGAAAGCACTCTATTATCTGCAGTGGTTATTATAGTTTATAGCAAAATTTATTTGTAGTTTTGTGTAGTTCTGCAGTAAACGGCCGTTTTCAAGGTTATTTTTAGATTAGAACTAAACGAGATGCACAAAGTTGTCCTAATCATGTCGACAGAACGCGCCTACGCGGAAGTGGGTACTTCTTGGGTAATTTACAAGATTTCTCGCATAGATACCTGTCGGAGATTATTAATGAATCACCTGGTTACAGGTAACAATTTTGTTTTGAATGTTTTTTTTTCTTTTTATAGGTGAAAATGGCATGGTAACCCCGCCTGCGCTATCGCCAGTGTATCGCCAGGGTACCAGTGAGTGATAGGTAAAGATGAAAAAGCAGGTCAGTCAGCCCATTGTGACGAATTCAATAATAAATTGGTCACGATAGTTTCCATGAGGAACCGCGTGGAGGTTGACCTGATAGGGTATATTGTTAGCAATGGGGACTAACCTCCCCATTACTAACAATCCCTTCCCCCCTGTTTTGAATTTTGTTCTGAATGTAATTTATAGTATAACAAGCTTAAACTTAATTTGTATATATGCATACAGTAATTGCTTACAGTATGAATTTATTAAAGTGTTGACACTTTTTTATTTCACTGTTGCCTTAGACATAAGCCTCCCCCATAGACTGCCATAAGAAATGATCCTGAGCCACCTGCATCCACTGACTCCCTGCAATGAATTTGAGGTCATCATTCCATCTACTGGGGAGTCATCTACATTGCGTTTGCCCGTACGGGGTAACCACTCAAGAACCTTCCTTCCCCATCGGTTGTCGGTCATAATTAATAATTCTTTACAATTGACATAAATTTATTGAATTAATTATATAACTATAAACGACATTTTAATTTTGTAATGAATGAGTATACTACTGATTGTTACATTAAATTTGGTATTGATATTATTGAAATAATCGTATTTTTTTTATAGAACTTAGAATGGCAAACAAGCTGACGGCCCACCTGATAGAAAGTGGTAACCGTCGCCTATAGACATGAGCAGTATACTGTTTCGCCCATGATACCCCCATGCGTTGCCATTCCTGAGGACACAGATGTTATTCCTCTGTACCCTGTAAATTCACACCATATCCCACCCTTCAAACCGAAACACAGCCATGCAAACACAACTGCTTCACGGTAGAAACACGAATCGGACAGAGGTACTCAAGCAAACGATTTTTGTACAAAGTCTCCTTCTGGCATATCTTAACAAGTCATGCTTAAAACGTTGTGATTATTTGCTTTGTGGTCATGCTCACTATAACGTCCATACGGATGATGGCGTGGTAGACCAATATATAGGGAGCCCAACAGGTTGAACAGAAAGATGGCTGTTTCATCCGTCACTTTTTTTTTAATGGTTGACAATGGATTGGTAACTCTATCTGCGCTAATGGTATACGCTGGCGAGCCACTGTGAATGATGATAGGTGAGAATGAAAACACAGGTCAGTTAGACCATCATGATGAATACACTTGGAATTAAACATGACGGTTTCCAGGGGGGGGGGGTTCACGTGGAGGTCGATCTGCCAAGGTATATTGCTAGCAATGGGACTGGTAGTTCGCACTACTAAACGTTTCGTCTAGTAGGGACTGTTCTGTTTAAGAATATTGTAACTGATTGTAATATTTTATTAATATGAAATTCGGGATAGTCATTTTTTATTCATTTACATTTTTTTTTTAATTCTACTTTTATTCGGAAAAAGCGACATCCGAGTTTTTTGCTCATTCTTCTCAACTGAAATCGTTCTCAACATTTCGAACTAGGCGGTAGATTTATAAGAAATATTATTCAAAAAAGCTTACTATTTAGTTAATTAAAAAATATCAAGGGATAAGCGCATCTGTGTATAACCTAAGATGTGTAAGTGGGTAGGTTACCCAATCCCATTGCTATCAATATGCCGTCAGGTCGATCTCCACGCGGAAATTATCGTGACTAATTTATCGTTGACTTCGTCACAGAGAGCTAACTCACCTGCCTTTTCATCCTCATCCATCATCCCACATTGATGCTCCACCAGTGTGTACTTTTAGCGCAGGCGGGGTTACTATTCCAATATCATCCATTAAAAAATATTCACAAGTATAAATATACAAAAATATAAACAAAAAAAAAGTCGATTGCTTGGGTACCTCTGTCCCATTAGTGTTTCTACCGTGAAGCAGTTGTGTTTGCATGGCTGCGTTTCGGTTTGAAGGGTTGGATATGGCGTGAATTTACTGGGTACAGAGGAATAACACCTGAGTCCTCAGGAATGGCAACGTATGGGGGGTATCATGGGCGAAACAGTATACTGTGTTATGTTCATGTTACTGCTCATGTCTAAAGGCGACGGTTACCACTTTCCATCAGGTGGACTAGCTTGTTTGCCACTCTAATTTGTATATATAAAAAAAAGTAACGCCTTCTGGTAATGCATATCAAAATTTTATTTGACAAACGTCATTTTATTTGTCATTCTTAATAATCTAAGCCTAATTATTGTTAATACTAAGTTCATTGTTAAGGATAATTAATTTGATATTTAATAAATAAAAACTTGCATTAAAATTTGAAAATATTTATTGTTATACAAATTGTTGCATTAACAACATAATATATATAATGTACAGCGTTCATTACATAATATAATTACAAGAAATCGCTGACCGTACAATCACATAATAACTGCTATATGAACGTGTAACATAGGTTAGGTACTTTGCGTAAATGATCTCACGAGCTTCATGTTAGGGCGTGATGTAAAAATAAAAAAAAATAACTTCACAATAAACATTTACATAGTAATTATTACTCATACACATTTTTGGATTAAATGTTTCATTTAAACTATAGTACTAACTATTAAAGCTAACCATTAACACACACTAAGACATAAATTAAAAACTTATTTACAAAATATTACACTTTTAAAATAATATTCGAAAATTACACATTTTATTCCATTGAAGGATAGAACGATCGTATATGTTGGATTATGTATGTTCGCTGATATTTGCATTAAGTATGTACTTGCTGTTTAATTATTAAAATAAACGAGAATGTTATGACATGGCACAAAACAATAGTTAGAAACTGTATATGTAATACTGTGTTAAAACAGGACAACCGTTCGTTTGAAATGTAGTTAAAATAATTGACTCAAATCGGATTTGATACAAAACTTTTTAGATAAAGTAATAATAAAAACTTAGAAGAAAAACAATTGAACAGTGCTATTCGAATTTTGAATTCGAGAACGAGGAAACATTTTTGATTATTTTTTTTTTAATCACAAGAAACAAAAGCGTGCAATAGCGGACTCAGGAACCTGCTGAGTCGCCGAGACGTTTTGGTGATTGCGTACTCACATATTGACAGACACCGTGGTAGAACACTATCACGATAATGTCACTAGGAGCTCGCATTAAGAAAATGGTGTTTACAATACTACAATATTTTACATTCCCATAAAATTAAAAGTAGGTATGTATATTTATTTAACTTCTTCAACCTTGAATATTTAATTACAAAGTGAACAAAATTACACATAGATAGATTGGTTAATTATTCTACAAAGATTTATATTACGATCGCATTCACATTTACGTCGATAATTTTGTATGGAAATCTGAGTTTTCGGAACTACCCGCTAGAGGCGCAGTTGACTTTAAGACAAATTATCAAGTGTAAACATTAAGGCTGTTGTAAAATAAATCTGTATTTAACTCCATTAAGGACTCTGGACTACATTTCACCAGAGGATCGAATGCAGAGGACTCTAAGTCAGAAAACGTTAAAATCTATTCTAAATTTTTAGTTTAGATTTTTGGCCAGGACAAGACAGAAATTCTATCGGATCACAAATGGATAATAAAAATGACAAACAAATTCAAATTACAATAGATTATTTTTATCATTTATCTAACATTAAACTCTGCCAGCAATAAATTAGTTCACCTTGAACATGGTTTACTAATATGACATAGATATAGGTATATCTTAGATTTCGATAAAATATACAAATATATTTTACAAGTATAATTTTAGATGAAAAAGGCACAGTCGTGACCACGTATTAATACATTCTTATAACGCTTTAAAGGAGAAAATATAACACTTATGATAATATTGTCGTTACATACTCTGTTTAAAATCAATATAACACGAAACACATAGTAATTGCAATCAGTAACAGTTTATATGTATACCATACCACCATCCCAAAACAGCCGATAATTTTTGTAGGTGATATTCAGTGACGAGGATTAGCTCCTAAGACGGACTTATTGCTAACAGTAATCTTGTTAGCTCCATACGCTGTCATAGTGGAAAGTATCGCAGCTAGTTTATGGTCAATTCATTACGATGGGCAGAATGGCATGACTCCTCATCTATCACCACTTATAGGTACTCCACCAATGTAAACCAATAGCGCACGACGTTACTACTTTTTCTTCTATTTAAAAGTTTTCATGATTTGTAAATAATGCAACAACACAAAGAATAACTCTTCTTTACTTTTTTTTAATAACATTTTGGAGTCGGGTGTTTATTATATAAGATATTAAGACGTTTCCAATTTATGATTCTAGTCACAGTTCTCGCTAACAACAAAAAAAGCGAAATTTCAATGGAATGTCTAGATACTAGAGTATAGTTACCATGTATAAACTTGAACATGTTTTTAATGTCCCGTAACCTGTGAATTTTACGTACAAGAGCATTTACTGCGCATGCATTGATCATAGTTTCGTTCAAGTTGTTATCTACTGTGCATGCACTGTCTATGGTTTCGTCAACTTGTTGTCTTCCGCGCGAGCTGTGTCTATGGTTGTTCACATTATTAAAAGAAGTAGTTGCGTCCATCGTCGCTGGAGTAGCACTGGAGGCAGGTAGTCGTCTACTACGCAAGCATTGTCTATGACTTCGTTCAAGTTGTTTATGGTACTAGACGCAGGAGTAGTTCCGGCCGTCATCGCTGGAATAGCATTGGTGGCAATGCAGGCGGCGCGCGCGCACGCGGACGTCAGCGCCGGCACGGCCATCGCCTAACCGGGTGCCGCACACCGCACAATTGAAGCACCACACGTGGTAGCACAGAGATAGAGACTCGATGATCATGGCTGCGCCGCGACCTGTCGTTGACAATATTAATTTTTAATAAAAGAAAAAAAAAATCCCGCGCAACAATGGCGGCCATCTTTGATGCCTCATTGAAAAGGTGTATCTTAAAAACAGTTTATGTGTCGTAACCCCAAGAATTTGATTGTTAAAATTAAGTTTTTAACTTTGTAAAGTCGCCATTTATATTTTAAATTAATGTTTTGATATTTTCGTCCTATACCCACATATGTACTTGAACAACACTTCTACAATTAATACTAAGGTAATGACACCTCAAGCCGTTTAGAAGTTTAGTCAGATACATACTCTCTAAAAATATTAACCTTTTGGTTTTTAATGCTAGCAAATAAGTAAATCAAAACATGCATTTAAGCCTATTTTCAATCGACCATCAAATGATGGAGAATCTCAATTCAATTGTATTTTTATGCTCGTTACCTCATAACTCAGTTATAAACCGATTTGAAAAATTCTTCTTTTATCTGACAGAATGTACTTACATGTTGGTTTCATAGAAATTTTATTAAAATCGACTTAGTAGTTCAGTTTGCGAAAGACATGAAAGACTGATATTGCCACAAAAGAAACGACTTCAATCGTTTCTTTTTGTACAATATAATCTTTTATTATAATTTCTACGACTTAGGACAGTATTTTTGAAACAATGCTCTTTCACGCACCTAACTCCTCGCCGCAGTGTGAACACTTCTTCTTCCCGCTGACGCTGAGCAGCTTGTCCTCCCTGGCGGTGGGTTCTGGTCGAGGTTCTGGCCGCGGCTGCGGCCGCATCGGTCGCTTCATCTCCACAGGCAAGTGTTGTTGGCTGCAATGATATCAAGTGAATTGTTAAATGACTTCTAAAAGAAGATGGAAGATACTCAGTTTATTTGTTATTATAAACAGGGTGAAATCAGAGTGAGTCTTGATGGAGCTTGCATGTTGTTTCGATTTAAGGGTGAGATGTGGCAGTGAAAATACTGGGTACGTTGGCATAATACCACAGATCAGGAATGATTGCACGTGGAATTTCATGGGTATCACGGTGCATTTTGTGATATCCACATAGTACTGTCCATATCTATAGGAGATGGTCCCATGAGGTGCGCTGTTTTCTTTGGCATTTTATCATAAAACAAAATTGTCAGTACTTTTTTAGAGAAATTTTATTTGTGAAATTATATATATTCATCAAATTCATCATATTGGTAAAGGACAAAAAATTTATAATCACGGCGTATCTAGGGACATTAGGAGCGAGTAAAGGAAATTGGTAAAAGGAAATGAAGGACTTATGGTGAAAATGGAAAGGAAAAACACTGCAGTTGCGAAGGAGACACTGATCAGAAACTACAGTAGCTCAAAAGGCCAGAGTCTCATACTTGTGTACCTTTACTCTAGAACTAGACAGATTACTAGGGAACACCCCTGGCACAGGTTGAATACGCCTGTATAAATAAAATATATATTTGTTTATTTACCTGGAACTCAAGTGCATCATGTGGTGCAGGGGCGCCGGCGCCATATCTTGGTGATACGAGTGCCGCTGCGCTGCGCGCTGTTTATTTCTTTGCTCCTCTATCCTGCGCTGCTCCGCCTCCTGGAATACATACAATTTTATTCTATAGTATGATTTTATCTATCATTTATATACAAGGTGGAAGGGACAGATTGGCCAAAACGAAAACAGCTGATTCAGATAAATGGTCTGAATCAGATGGCAGATTTTTTATGCACCTTAAAATGGCAAATAAGCTGACGGTTCACCTGATGGAAAGTGATAACTGTCACCTATAGACATGAGCAGTACCATGTACATAACAGAGTATACTGTTTCGCCCATGATACCCCCCATGCGTTTCCATTCCTGAGAACTCAGGTGTTATTCCTCTGTACCCTGTAAATTCACTGACATATCCCACTCTTCAAATCGAAATACAGCCATGCAAACACAATTGCTACACGGTAGAAACACGAATGGGACAGAGGTGTCCAGGCAATCGACTTTTGAACAAAGTCTTCCTTTGGTGAAATTATTATTTTCCCACCGAATTTTGATGGTGATACATATAACTAAAATATATTAGGTGTTGCCATATATTTACTCACCCCTAGTTTCCACTGTCATATTTCTTTATGTATTATTAGTGTATAAATTAAAATATAAATAAATAAATAAATAACCTGTATTAGCCAATGTTGGTTGTAGTTATAATTGGCAGGTTTCCGCTGCGGTTGCTGTCGGCTCTGCATCCACTCTGTGTTTGAGATCAGTTTAGGTGTAGGAGCCGCACTTAACGCCTGAAAATTTTATACAAATAATGTATATTCTTTATTGCACTTGTAAGTTACATATAAAATAATCTATTTATAAATGTTGTAAGCAAGGGTGGACTTATCTCTGACAGAGATCTCTTCCAGTCAACCCAGTACAGTAATTAATTAAATGAAGAAATACATACGGAGGCTGAATAAGATGTGCCATCATTTTTTTTTATACAACTTAGAAAGGCAAATAAGCTGACGGCCCACCTGATGGAAAGTGGTAACTGTCGCCTATAGACATGAGCAGTACCATGGACATAACAGTGTATACTGTTACGCCCATTATACCCCCCATGCGTTGCCATTCCTGAGGACTCAGATGTTATTCCTCTGTACCCTGTAATAATTCAAAACTGTCTGGTCAAACCGAAAAACAGCAAAACACAACTGCTTCACTAGAAAACGAATGAGACAAAAAAAAACAAAGATATAGTGTTGTATTAGATAATAGATAAATTAAAAATATATTAATAGATGATAATGAAAATGAAAAAAAAAATTTATAGATGGTTTCTTCAGGGTCGACTTGATGTATTGCTAGCAAAACTAACAATTCCTTTCCCCCCCGTATATGTAAGGTGAGACAATGTTATATATGCTATATAAAGAAAATAAATGTATTTTTTTATACCACAAAGATGGCAAATAGGACATATAGATATATACATACATATATAATGCTTACCTCTTATTGGTATAAAAAATCTATCTATACTTATAATAAATCTGTAGAGAGGTCAATTCTGTACATGAAATATATTTCCAAAATAACTATCAGGGGGTGATTAGTGATCGATACTGATGCCAAAAATGAAATCAGTAAAATTTTTGTCTGTCTGTCTGTATGTTCGTTTTAGAAACAAAAACTACTCGACGGATTTTAACGAAACTTGGCACAATTATTCTTCTTACTCTTGGGCAGGTTATAGTATACTTTTCATCACGCTACGATCAATAGGAGCAGAGCAGTGAAGGGAAATGTGTCTGTTACATCAAAACCACTGAACCGTGAGGAAGGACATAGGCTATTTATTTTACGAAAAACGACGGAAACGCGGACGAAGTCGCGGGCAACAGCCAGTAAATAATACTTTTAACTTTTACTTATTATTATTATTTTTGTTTTTTATTATTATAAAGTACTGTACATGTCTGTATGCGACAGCTACTTTTCTGTCAGCATGTTTGCTATTTTAAGTTTTATATAAAAGTAATAGGTACCTGCAACGTATGCCTGGTCATGGACTGGTATGGAGTGTTGCCATTGGCAACCGGTTTGGGCCTCAGCTGTACGGCGGTTCGTTCCACGTTGGCGTACTCCACCGCTGACGGAACACGGCTACTTCTGAAAATGTGTTTTATTATAAAGTTATAAAAATACATATAAGATATCATATATATTCCAGACTAGTTGTAGCCCGTGGCTTCGACCGTGGTTGTATCGTGATGTCACCTCTAAACTTCCTCAGGAAATGAAGTATTCATTTTTAAAACTCATGTTATTTTTTTTAAAAGATGTCGTCTATATGTATAAAGGGAATTTTATGAACTTACTATGTTTGTCGTTTCCGACAATTGTTTCGACTTTCTCTGGAAGTTTTCTTCAGGGGGAGTCAGTCTCTTTTTTTTATACAACTTAGAATGGCAAACAAGCTGACGGCCCACCTGATGGAAAGTGGTAATCGTCGCCTATAGACATGAGCAGTACCATGCACATAACAGAGTATACTGTTTCGTACATGATACCCCCCATGCGCTGCCATTCCTGAGGACTTAGGTGTTATTTCTCTGTACCCTGTAAATTCACACCATATTCCACCCTTCAAACCGAAACACAGCCATGCAAACACAACTGCTTCACGGTTGAAACACGAATGGGACAGAGGTATCCAAGCAAACGGCTTTTGTACAAAGTCTCCCTCTGTCTCCCTACTCACATTACTGTGACTCAAAGCACCGTTATCCCCCCTCCTTCATTTTTATACGTTTTTATGTAATAGGGAGATAAATGAATAATTTGACTTCGACAGGGAATTCAACAATTCTTTTCCCCCTAGTCGCAGTGTAATAGACACATTTGAAAAACAACAAATACATGTCGCAGTGACTAAGATGAGATAATGTCAGTATGAAAGGTTGGGGGGAAAGGGATCGTTAGTAACAGGACTAGAGGCCCATTGCTAACAATATATTTTATCAGGTCGACTTCCACGCGGTTCCCATTGGAAACCATCTTGATTGTTTTTTTTTTATAAATTCATCCCTATGGACCAACTGACCTCACGTATATATATATATATATAGTGCCCCGCCAGTGTATACCGTTATCATCCATTAAAAAATATCAAAGGTTACCACTATAACTGTTTTGTTTCCACCTTTGTCTGACATACATCATTAATACCTTAATTTAACTAAGCGGTACATCTTTACATAATTAAAGACTAATTACATAATTATCTTAATTGCCAAGTTTATTTTTTCTTTATCGTTACGATTTGTAGTGATAAAACCATAACAATATTAAATTCCATGAAATTACGTAAGTGTTGTAAAGATTATTTTTATTAGATTACGGCTTACGAATTTCAGATAAAGCTTGTTTGTTTAAAGCCGAATGTTTGTTTGATCTATTTTATTACAGTGATAAAGCTATTTTCTGCCTATATTACATGGTACTATCCAAATAAATAATAGTCAATTTTAAATTTGATGAAGGGATGGGGGCGGCGGTAGCGTTTCTCTTAAAACGTCATCAAAAGCCAAACTCCGGTTGCCAACCCTCGTGCCAAGCGTGGCAACTGTTGGTAAAATCCTCCTTATGAGGGAAGTTATGTATACTGCCACTGCTGAACATAAGCCTCCCACTGTTGGAGGGTCTTGCTAGTAGTTACCACGCTTGGCAGGTGGGTTAGCAACCGCAGTTAGGACTTGGTTATATTTTAAGGAGGACACTGCTGCCCATTCTCCACTTAGTATCGCTGTTTGTGATTCTTCTTGGAATTAACTATGAATGTAGTTTTTTAAGAGCATAGTAGAAGGAAAAATAGAGGGCAAAAGAGGAAGAGGAAGACCGAGGAATAACTACACGGGACAGATAAAAGAAACACTAGGTGTAATGTCGTATAGGGAGGTCAAGGATATGGCCTGGGATAGAACTGGCTGGAAGAAGATGCATGAATTAGTTGCACCGACAAGAAGAAACTCTTAAATGAAAAGAGAGAGTAGTTCACAATTTGATATAGAACAATCACTAACCTCATAGTAATTTCCCTCTCAATTGACTCCCGACTCTTGGGCTTTGGAGGTAACACAGGCTGCGTCGGTCTCACCGAGGGCACCGGCCTTCGCACCGCATCATTGACTTTTCTATCTTCATACAAAACTTTTCTACTCTCCTCGACCCCGAAATGTCTTTGAATATGTTCTTCAGACACGAACGGTTTTCGTTTCATATTCTCGTCGAATACTGGTCTTTCAGGGATCGTTGGTGCAACCGGCGTATAATTCTCTTTGATCAATAAATTTGGCATCGAGTGTCTATAATTTTGATTACCAGTTTTTGGACGGCTGTGTAACGGCGGCTTTTCCGGTGCATTCGGAACTGTGGATATATCTTGGACAGATTTTTGGATGATTCTATTCTGATCTCGGAGTAGATTTTCCCTTTGCCGCCTAAGCTCTTCTTGTTCGAGTTGCAGCAGTTCTCTTTCGAAACGTAGCACTTCCTAATTTTGGATTTGTTATATGTATTAATAATGTGTGTTATATAAGGATTTCAGGTTAGTAACTGATTTTAGTGACACGTATTAGTACAGGGCAAAAGCTAGCGTGCATTATTTATTTTAAGTATGATGTTTTACAAATGAAATGGTATGTTATGAGGGTTTCCATTAAAAATTATGTTTCTTTCATTTAAAACATTCAGTTTACATGATATGGTAAGAAGTAGTTTTAATAAATCTATGATTCATAATAAAAATTAATAATATTTACTTTTTATCAATGATCGTCCATGTATATTAATTAAAAATTAAGTTTAAAAATGTGTGCAGTTCCGGAATTTATAATACGTACTTGTACATAATTACATTGTAACATAAATATTTATAAAATATCATATAAACCGAAAAATTTTCAGTATTAAAGTGTTTTAAAACATGTGAGTCACCTTTGTATGAGAATCATCAGTGTTCCCATCTGGCCAATCTGCGTTAGTGCGACACGCCTGCAAAGTTACACACCGCGGCCATCTTGTTAATGTTATTTACACACAACAAAATGGCGGACGAACAATAAACCATAATATTGATACACTGTATAGGATTTTTTACACATTATAAGTACTTAAAAGGCGCTTATCAGTAAAGTGAAATATTTTAAGATTATTTTTTTGTATTAATAGACTATTTTTATGATAAGATTATGTAGAAATATTATGGTTTTAACATAAAACGCAATGACATCGATTTAATGATGTTTTTTTTTAATGTTAAATATTAGAACAAATTTGAATACTATTTTCTTCGAATTTCAGACATAGAGAACTAACTATCTAGTATAATCAATTACTAAAGAAAATGAAAATATAACAATGAAACGAGTAATTAAAATGCGTAAATAGTGCAAGATACATGCAGTGCAAGTATATATTATAAATTCTACAGAAGGTGCTAGTGCAAAATGAAAGGCAATATTGATAAAGTAAATAATATTTATTTTTAAAGGAAAAATTAACATACATTTATATAAGACACGACTAAACAAAACTAATATATTTACTGTAGTTTGAAAAGAATCCTAAAAACAATATTTATTTTAATGTATATACTCGTAATTTTGATACAATAAATTATACATTAAAAGCATTAGAAAGCAGGATTGGTTAATTTTGCAGCATTAATGTGTTGAATACCACAAATTACTTTTGTAAATACAAAACTTGGTTTAAATGCAAAACTTATTGGGGTATTCAAAACATACTTATATACAAACTTATATTAAATATAAATAAACAACATATACATGTATAACTGTGCTATTAAAGCATTTACAGTGCAGAAACCTTATTTAAACCATACCTTTAATTATTTAGCGATAATTGTAATTCGAGAATTTTTGTTGAATCAACTTTCTCAAAATAAATCTAAATTTAACACTACGAGATCTAAACTTCAACTAAAATCAAATCTATACTTTCAAATATATAGATAAATAAATATTTGTAGGTACAGAATTATCTTCTTGTTGCATTTCACTGGTGTGAAATGAAGAAAGTAAGAAATTTTGGAATTCTAAAAATAAAACTATGCGAATCATTTACATATAATCATTAGCATATTATTATATGTATAATCAGTAATATAACAGTAAATTGAACTTATGAAATAACTTGCGTGAAAGAAAACAAAGCTAATAGGATATTTACTACAAATTTAGCTAAATAAAAGAGAAGAGCTTTCTTTACATAATTTTCATATTCTATGTTTAACTTTTATTTGGTTACCTGTTGCTGTTGTAGTTTTTTGTCCAATTTATCTATTTTGCTAACGTCGGTCTCTTGTGTTTCGGTTAGTTCAGTTAGTTTAGAATTTAAGTTAGACGTGAAATTTTGTTCTTGCTTCTTAACTTGTTCCTCTTCATCCGATGTTACCGTCACGTGTGTGTAGGGCTGAAAGTTAAGTAATAAATTTTAATAATTAGACAATCAAGTCCTTATATAATTTGTTGTATCTGAGAACGCAATACATGTGGCATATCCTGGATGATCAGGGAGTAATAATTATGAATAAAATATATACCGATGACTATTAAGAACTGCTTTATCAAATACTTTTTTTTACAGAGATTGAACTATTTTCTTCCATCCTATTAATATAATAAATACGAAACTTACATGCAAAAACTACTGAATTAATTTTAATAAAACTTAGTACACGGGTAGGTTATATCCTAACTTAGCATGTTTACTTTATATATTGAGTCACGCGGGTGAAGCCATGGGATACAGCTTGTATTAAAATACAAGTATGAACACGCAATACTGTTTACAGAAAAAATTAATAAGATGATTGTAACCAACTGTACGAGTAACACAAACTTGTACATTTTCCTAAATCTCTAAACATTTTGAAGTCCTTATATATCACGGAGCATATTTCCAATTCAATGTAGCACAGGGCAAAGCTGTAGCCTTTTTTATTTATAATTAGATTTGGACAATGTTTTAGGTGGGAATTGGTTGGAAATTTTAATTGGTACAGAAACGTGGTCTCGCCCAGAATCGACCACTGCGATATTTTTAGTCGGAGAAATAAGCCACGCACTCCGTTTGTGTATCAATAATTAAATATTGCTTTTGAAAGGATGAAAGGGAAGGCTTCGAATTCAATCTCGCTCAGACCCTAGCTAATGGATTCGTTTGGGTAGAGCGAAATAATGTTAAAAGGTCGTCTATGAATATTATTCAAGATTTTTTTTATGTAATGAACTGTATTAAATTAGGTTTTTAAAAACCGAGCTATAAAAAATGTGTCAAATGGGATTTTGTTCTGTACAGAATGTTAAATGGCAAACAATTGGTAGGTAACTGTCGCCTATAGATAAAAATAGCTGCATATATATGATAAAATACACTGTGAGGTCCATTTATATATGCAAAAAACAACGATTTTAATTTTGAACCGAGCAGATTATATCAGATATTTAACTTTAAATGTTAGTCATAAAGTTTAATATAAGTAGTGGATGCAGGTGGCTCAGGACCGTTCCTTATAGCAATATACTGGGGAGGCCTATGTCCAGTAGTGGACAGATAACAGCTGACATGATGTTTAACTTTTAATATAAATACCAGAATGGATTTGTGACAAAAATTTGTTATTGCATTATATATATATTATCCTAACATACCTCACTATTTTGTCTGCTATGAGGGTTTGAAGTTTCGGGTGAAGACTGCCCTTTATACCACGCTTCAGCCGAAGGTCCTCTATCGATGTCCACACCAGAGTCTCTACTTTCCCTCAACTTTTCGTCCATATCATGTGAGAGCGTTTTCTTGTAAAGGAGTTTTTCTATTTTTGTCTCTTCTTGCAGGAAAGACGTTATGTCTGGTCGTGGTGCTAATGTTAGATCGACATCTAAATAACTGTCATCTTGACCTTCGATACCAAGAAAGCTGGTTCGTTTATTTCTAATTTCCTTTTTGATGCGGCGCGCTGAACTTGTATGTTTGAAGTTGCCCTGATATTGAACAATAATTAAAATATTATAACATTTATCGACAGAAAATTGAAAATCATCTAAAAGAAATTTTTGTTATAAGTATGAAAAATATGCATAGACAAAGTTAGTCAAAATTACAAGGAAATTCAGGAACTAGTGGCTACCTCACAATTAGGAGGGAAAAGGATTGCTAGTAATGAGGTCTTAAAGCCCATTACTGGCAAAAGATCCTATCAGAAAGACATCCGTGGGGTTCCCCCTGGAAACCACTGTGGTAATTTTTTTGGAAAATTCCTCATGATAGGCTGGTCTGCTTTTTTCTTTATTATTCTATATTAACTGCGTTTGCAGTTTTTTTTTATATTTCTATAATGCTTTTTTAAATATGTCAAGTGATAAAGTTTATATACTTACATTACCAAGTAGTTCGTCTTCAGTGTTGTCTTCGGTGGGTGGGGGCGGCGGTTTCTCTTTCGGTGGTTCCATAGCATTAGTAGCCAGATCCAATGGGAACGCTCCATCATCAACACTGTTTTGGTAGAATATATCTATATTTTCATAAAGTGGTGCGACAGATATTTTCTTGTCGCTATCAAAATCGAACGGTTCAATTTTGTTTGATACTTTTTCAGAAGTGCTATTTCCATTTTCAGTTTCCATATTGCTATTGTTATCAAAACTATCTTCTGAGTCCAATTCTTTAAAAGCCAATTCTAACGCGTCAATAACCTGTGAGAGAGAAAATACGTTAAAAATGTACATTGGTACAAATAATATAAAAAAAACTGTTGTAAAGCTAAACAAAATTTAAAATAAAATTATTGATTAGTACTCAATATTTAAAAACTTCACATAAAAAAAACAATAGAGACCAAATTAGATTCACTAAGAATATTAATTGTATTTGGAGAAAAAAATATAAATGTGAAAACAGTGCTATTTAAAAAGCATTTAAATTTTAACAGGACATTTAAATTTGCCAAACAGAGTCAATTAAAAAAAACTTACACAGTAGATATCGTATCGTACATGCAAGAAACAAACTAAAATGACATAACGGGCAAAACGTGCGGCGTAAATGAAAGTTAATGAAGCGAAACATCTACATGAAACAAATCTTACCTTAGATACCCATCACCAAAAGCTGATGTAACAATACCTAATGCGAGAGAATTAGATCGTAGTATAATTTTATTTTTAATTAAAAATTATGAAGTTACAAAATGATCTGCACTTCAAGAGAACCTGTTCTAGTATGAGGCAGTAGTTGTTCAAGATAAAACTATATTTGAATAAGATAATAGGCCTCAACAGATAACATTATCTACAGAATTCTAATTCCTGAACTAATATATTTGTTCATTGATTAAGCACTAGTAGATAGATTTAATATTTACAAATTAACTATAGGTAACATATACATAAATAAAACCCATATAACAATGTAACATATATTTTTGGTAATATGAATTACAAATATCACGTTTTACGAATAATTATGCTAATGACGGGGACGTTAAATAATAATGGGGTCATGTCTAAGGGTATTATATCAGTTTTCAATATTTATTATACTTAGACTATTTATACTACAGAATGTAAACCCTGTTTATTCTAAAGATCTATTCATTTATTCGATCAATGTATGTATGATTTGCTAAGTGCTAGGAATTTGATGGGATATTTAACACGAATTTTTAGCACATCTAAAGGATTAGGTACATGATAATGGTTTTGTGAGTGAACTATATAGTGTTGATTGCAAATACTATCTAACACATACGTTTACCGATTCATTTAATGTGTTTTAGTAAATACTTACTAAGGAATTCTATGTCATTACAATAGAGTATAGAAGTTATGGGTGAGATCAATAGATCATAAAAATTCTAGAAAAAGTGTCCATTCATGTTATCTCATCTGACTTGCAATATACTAGCAATATATGAGAAACAGAATGGGCAAAGAACAAGCCTTAGGCCTGTTTATTGGCATCAGAATTATTCGCGTGTGTTACTGTTGTTGTTACCTTGTTATTAATAAACAAAATAGTTTTTCGTCTATTAGGTTCCAAGCAACGTTTAGTTCTCTTTTGCCAAAATGGATTAGAATCTTGGGAACTTACCGTCGCTTCACCATTTTGGGGAGTTGTAATGTTATTATGACATTGATCAATGATTTCATTATTTTGATTATTAGAGGTAGCACATTTAATGTTATTATGAGCACGATTACATGAATCATCACTGACATTTACATCAGTAGATGAATCCTTCGATGTGGATGTTACATCAGCTAGTTTATTAGTAAGCGAAATGTTATAATTAGTGGTTTTTAGCGTTTTAATGGAATTCTTTGGTGAAATATTAGTAGTGGTTATTATATTAGAGACAGTTACCATTGGCATGCTCTTGCTGTTAGTAGAAATATTAGTAGTACTAATTTCGTTATTGTTAGAATTGTTCCCAGCACCAGCATACATTTTGTTGCAAATTTCATTCAAGTTTAAGTGTATAGTCATTTTTCCCTCAAATACCACTGTGTCTCCTTCCGAAGCAGTAGACACAGGCTCATTCAAACTTACACTAGTATCTTGATTGTCCAGACTTTTGAGTGTATCTTCATCTTCTTTGTCCATTTGTATTTCTGTTACTTCTTCAGTGACACTAAGCTCTTCTGGTTGAGAAACAGCTTGTATATAATTACTCCCACTATCGGTATCTTCAACTTTACTGTCTTGCTCTTCAATTTCCTCAACTATTATATCTTCTATGATTGTTTGAATTTGTTGAGGAATTGCCTTAAGCTCTTCTATTTTATGAGGCTCTAAAACTGGAGCACTATCTTCATTTGAAGATTCGTATTCAGATGCTTCTATCATAGGCTCCTCAATTGGCGATGCTACTTGAGTTAAATCAGCAATATCATCAGCTGGAGCACAGGAATCTCTGGCTGTATGTATACCACTATCTTCAGTTTCAATATCACTAGGAATAGTATTATTTTGCATTTCCGTACAATCAAAGTCTTCTAAACTTTGAACTCTTTCAAAAGAATTTGGTGAAGATTGACCATTGATATCCAAGCTGTCTAGGGACCGACAGAAGCTTTGCATTTGGCTTTCTATTCCTGATAGGCTAGATTTCAAAGAATTGTCTGATAACTTATCCTTTGAGATAAGCTCTTGTGTATCATGATTGGTAAGTTCTTCGTCAACAGATATTTTAGGTATTTCCTTGTTTTTGGCAGCATCAAGACAAGATAATCGTTCTTTTAAACTCATTGATACTTGTTTAACCTCTGTTTTTGATATCTTTTCCTCTTCCGAATTTTGAGATTTAAAATTTGATAAGCGTTCTTTCAATGACTTTGTATTAGTAAGATCACCATTAGATAATCTTTTGAGTTTTTCAGGCTCTATCGATGCAGTTTTTACTTTTTCAAGAGAGGATAAACGTTCTTTCAACGGTTTCACTTCGACAGGTAGTTTAGTTAAGTCACTAGTAGATTTTGGAATCTGAATGTCTTCTGTGAACTTTTCTAAACTAGACAGTCTTTCTTTAATTGACTTTTTGTTTGTAATATCAGGTAATTTTGGTTTATTGATTTGTGACTCCTGTGAATTTTCTCTCTCGAATTGTTCTCTTCGTTTGTTTATATCAACTTTTGGTAAATCTCTTTTCTGATTGTTATTTTTGGTGTCGTTTACCCTTTCCTGTTGGAAAGATGAGACTTTCTCTTCAATTTTGTTGCTGACTGATGTCCTGATTCTGTTTAGATCACTATTTATTTTTTCCGGTGATTTTTCTTTTAAATTGTTATTGACGACTGTCTTGACAATGTTGCTGTTAGTTTGTGAAATGATTCTCGACTTATAACCCTCTATAGCACCCTCGTATGTGTATTCTTCGGGTTCTGGAGAGCTTATCGTCGTGGTCGTACACGTGTCGTATTCGTTAGCACTCGAGCACAATTTGCGGTTGGTGTCGCAGTTGGAAAGGTTGTCGACATCTGAATGATGTTTATCCAGGTCGATACCATCGCTCTGAAAAATTTTAATCAGTATATTTATTTACTTGCCCTGTTACGTTACTTTACTAGTGGTTGTAGAACTGTGTTATCTTGATGGATGTGCAAAGTATTACCGACTTCTTTATAATATGTAGAAACAAAAAGCTACAGATAATCTAGTTAAGACTGATTATATTTATTCATGATTATAATTTTAGATTATATTTTGTTATGATGAATATAATCTATTTGCCTTTATGTAACGAAGTATATACAAATCCAACGTATCATGAGATGAACCTATTACCATCGCTAACAAAGTTGTCCAAGGCTAGTTTCTATTGTATTTTTATTCAAATCCCTAAATTACTTCTAAATGATTCTCTATCAAATTGTCTGTGATACACCTGAAGATTCAGTGGTGGGTCAAATTTTAGAACAATATCAGTATCATCAGGTGTATCAGATATAGAAATTTGATGGTAAATCATAATGTTTGTTGGAACAACTATTGGTGTTAGAGAAAAATATTCCTTTAAAATATTAATAAACACTTACCGCCAAGCTATGTGTGTCGCAGTCCTCACTCAAGCTGCTCTTTGTGCTGGAGGTGCCTATACCGAGGTCGCTCAGATCATGTGCGTCATCGTCAGCAAACACTGCTAGATTCCGCCGTCTGCGGCCAGCTCTGGAAAGAAAAAAGACAATTTTATTAATGGCTGTGCAATTAGAACGTAATCATTCTCTATTATATTATTTTTAACATAATATATATTAAAATTTCCAAAGACAAATTTATCATTGAAAACTATTTTCAAATACTATTCGTCATAGGTAAATAAATCCTTGACAAAAAAAAAGGTGTGTTATAAGTTAAATTATACGTTAAAGAAAAGCTAGTTTTTTTTTTTTAATGTATGTTAATAGAATGGTAACTCCATCTGTGCTATTGGTATATTTTGACGGAGTACCAGTGAGGGATGATAGGAAAGGATCAAGTCAGCTCAGTTGACCTATTGCGACGAATTCACAATAAATTAATCATGATGGTTTCCAGGGGGAACCGCGAGGAGGTTGCTTATACTCCATTACTAACAATCCTTTCTCCCCATCTATGAAAAAGTAGCTACCAAAATAATTTAAATGTTTTTTTTTTTATATATTAAGATTTAAGTGGCACTGTTCTTAATTTCTATACTGGGGGGAAGGTATTGTTAGTAATGTGGACCATCAGTCCCATTGCTAGCAACATATCCTGTGAGGTTGACCTTCACGTGGTCGCCCCTGGAAACCACCGTGCTGAATTTCAGGTGTATTCGTCACGATGCGCTAACTGATCTGCCTTTTCATTCTCATCTATCATCTCTCATTGGTGTCCCGCCAGCGTATACCGTTAGCGTAAGCAGGGTAACCGTTCCATTATAGACTAAAAATCCCATTGCTAGCAATATACCACATAACCAGGTCGATCTCCATGCGGTTCCCCTTGGAAACTATCATGATTAATTCCTGATGAAATCATCATGATGGGCTAACTGGCCTGTTTTCATTCTCATCGATCACCCTTCACTGGTACTCCGCCAGCGTATTCCGTTAGTGTAAACGGAGTTACCAATCCATTTTTATCCAACAAAAAAAAAACCGTTCCATTATCATTAATTGAAAAAAAAAATTACTATATTACGTAGCTTAGGATAGAAGGCATCTGTTAAATATTGCAACTAGAACATTGATTAGTTATTCTTGACTGAGTCATAGTTGGTATATCTTATCATGGGAGATTCTATTCAAGCTACTCGAAAATAAAGGTTTTACTGTATATGAATTAAAAGCACGGGTGTAATTGGCGTTGTAAACATATACTATAGCCATAAAAAAAAACAAATTGATAACCTACTTCTTTTGTAAGTTGTTTAAAAATGCATTGTGTTAGACTAAGTTTTTTTTTATACAACTTAGAATGGCAATCAGGCCGACTGTCATGGCAGAATATTCTATAATTACTTGCAGATAGTCGAATAGGTGGATCGTGTTTGTTGTCATTACTCACCGATGCCGTCATAGAACCATACATCATGTCTGCGGAAGATTACTTAGTCAAAGCAAATATATATGCAGATAATGATTTGTGCCATTAGCGATTTGCCGGTATATTTATTCGCCGTGCCGCTTTTAAGATTGGCAGAGTTAAATCGTACATACGTCATCTTACTAATAGATTAAAACCGTCAAAAATACGTGTGGAAGTGCATGTTGCCATGTGGTCCCGGCATAGAATAGGCCACCTCTTCATTTTCCGTGGGTGTTGTAAGAGGCAACTAAGGAATTAAGGGATGGGCAGCAGCGTCCCCTTATAAAACATCTCCAAAGTCTAACTGCGGTTGCCAATCCGCCTGCCAAGTTTGGAAACTACTGGCAAAATCCCCTAAAGGGGAGGCTTATGCTCAGAAGTGGACAGTTGGAGGCTGACTGGCTGATATGATGATGAAGTGCATATTCCATATTCACTATTTTTGCCAAAATACGACCTTTATAAATATGTAATATTTACAATATAATACTTTATTTAATAACATATACATACATAACAATGTCAAATAACTTGACAGTCTATATTCACACAAATTACTAATTGTAACTGTTAACATTTGCTTGAAAAGTATCAGTTGAGTTCCTTGCTTGTTATTTTTAACTAAAATTGCATTTAAATAGATTGTAAAATGACAATTAAAAATGCTTGTAATTAAAATTAAATTAAAATTATTCTTATTCTTAAAGTAACACTATAGGCCCGTATAGAAAGTAAATCTTTATTAATGGGCAAATTAAAAAGCAACTTTTTATAGACATTACAAATTATAAATATACGTAATATCAAATTTTTGTAACGATACAAACGTATATGAAAAATTATAAAAAAAAAGCTAATCAGTAATATTCATGATAAAACAATAATATATTATGATTATGAAACTATTTACATATTTATTTGACAGTAATTTCAATCATTCGATTTACTAATTTGGGAAATCGTCACGAATTTATATACATGTCTACCTATTCTCGTATTTATAGACATACATAGATAATTATGTATAAAACATATAATTTTGTACAAAAGTCGCAAAGATAAATGAAATATTAATAAAAAAATAAATCAAAAATATTATCATTAAATCGATAAATATATTTATAAATCAATTTATATATTTATTACTGTCAAATAATCATTGAATCACAATACTAATCTTGAAAAATATGATGTGTTTATAACATATTTTAGCATATAAACAAAGGCACGGAACTACGTGGTATATTGTAACGTTGATACATATTCATTTCGTATTAATTTAAATCACTCACGATGATCATCATCGTGTTAGCTGTAACTGTCTATTGCTGAACATTTTTTTATGCAACTTAAAATGGCAAACAAGCTGAAGGCCCCTTGATGGAAAGTGGTAACCGTCGCCTATAGACATGAACAGTACCATGGACATAACAGAGTATACTGTTTCGCCCATGATATCTCCCATGCGTTGCTATTCCTGAGGACTCAGGTTAACACCTGTATACTCTGTAAATTCACTGCCATATCCCACCCTTCAAACCGAAACACAACTGCTTCATGGTAAAAACATGAATGGGACAGAGGTGCCCAAGCAAACGACTTTTATACAAAGTCTCCTTCTGGCAAATACATATACATACATACATACATGAATATAGGCCTTCCCCATAAGAGGGGTTTTGTTAGTACATCTGACAAATATATCGGCAACCGAATTTTTGCTTTTGGTTATGTTTTAAGAGTGACTATTCTTCTTTAGACCAATAAGTTCCCTTAGTCGCCCCTTACGACCCCCACGGGAAATAAATTTCAATCATTAAATTGGAATATTTATCTAAAAATTTAATAACTACATAGCATAGTGTCGGTTAAAAGACCGAAAGACGACTATAATATTTAGTAATATTATTAGTAAAGTAACAGTTGTTCAAGTAAAACGTTACGATCTTGCTGTAGTCTATAATATAATATAAATTGATTGATGGAATATAGTTTGGTTGTTAGAGAGCTTGTAACGTGAGGTCGTAAGTTCAAACAGTATATACTTGTATACTACATAACGAGGCGAACGCCTACGTAAACATGAATATGCAACTTGGTTCAGAATTCATTAACTATAATATTAAAGTTTATTTTCAATAATATTTGTTTTAATACAAATAATATGTACGTTAATACTAAAAGAATTAAGTTTTTCAGATACTACTATCGGACTATTAACAGAATGTTTTTAAATTGATATTGTTTATTAAAAAACTTTTATATAATATGATGTTGTAGAGAAAGTAAATAATGTTATTATTTATGCATTTAACTTTTATGTACATAACAAAGGTACACATGGCGAGCATAATATCTAAAGAAATTTTCTACTGATTAACTGTACAGTAAACGGATTCTTAACCCTTTTAGTGCCATTGATTTTTACTCATATCTACTTAAAAATGCCAAAGAAATCTTTGTCGTGTTGATGTCATTTACCTTTGTCTCTAAAAAAAACTGTATCTCCTATAAAAATTATCTAATTTTTTTTTTACAGCAAGATAAACAGCGACTGATTTCACGAACGTTATGACGCTCAATGCGCACGAGTGCGATGGCGTTCGTCGGCATTCAAAGGGTTAAAAGCTTGAAAAAAAAAAGAACATCTATTAATTAAGGTATGACAATTGAATCTTATTAGTTTAAACTTAGAAAATAACTAATATATTTATTTACTATTTATTTATGTTTTAAACATAACGAATATATGAGTATATTTGACTCCGCATTAAATGAACTTGGATCGTGAGAATCTATAAAGGATTTTCCAAGACATAATGTTTCATAAATATAGACAGTGAGCTCATTTCACATAATTAAGCATGATAGAAAGGACAATAGTTAGTCAACATAAAAATATTCAGTAAAAAAACATGTGTAACTTTAGTTTATCTATGGCTTGAATCACAATAATAACGAAGTGGGTTATAATTAATAGTTTAAAGGTTTGGACTACCCAAGTTGCCTCACCCAAAGAACCAGTATTGTTCAGACGATTTAGAGAAAAGCACCACGCCTCTCAAGGTGAATGTCGCGTTACGAAATTATCGGCTCAATAACGATACAGCATTATCGCCTATGATATAAGAGAATGAAAAGTGAAAACTGGTCAAGACACCGTCACATATGGTACTTTCGCTGTCACAGTTTTGGCCATTTGAATAGAAAGTAGATGGTTAATAAACGGCAAATGGTCGCGGCTGTTCATATGTGATATGCTGGTTCGGAGGTCAGAGTGTGTGATACATAATGTAGATTTTTCTCAACAAAAAAAAAAAAAAGAAAAAGAAATCGCTTCACATTTATGTTAACATTAATATTTTAAATACACTATTCGGACTTAAAGCGATGAACAATTTTTACACGTAAATAGTACCTACATACCTGCTTCTTTTCTGCCTACGTTCATCGCATTAAGTGCCGATAGTGTATTTAAAATATGTGTCAATAACGTGTAAGTTTAAAATTAACAATAATATTGACTTATTATTATTCTTATTTTAAATTAAATATAAAATGCTATATAGTCAGTGGATGCAGGTGGCTCAAGAAAACCCCTTATGGCCGTCTATGGA